TGCATTGTTCTATATCCATACTTATGTTTCACCAAAAATGGTCGTCACGAAACACAAATACCACTTCAGAACATAGATATACTTAAGACTAGCCTAGCTCGTCTGATAGTGCAACGTCATAGCACAAACATCAGTAATTGTGTATATATCACTTGAAACATTCACAATTTAAATCAAACTTCTTCATTCTATTGTTTTACAAAAAATAATGTTTCACTCCCACTAACAACATTGGAGTTAGTCAAAACTTTGGATTTATTTTATCCCTCAAGATTCTGACTGTTTTACCCTTTCCACACCTTCTTATTGGACTGGTATTGTATCCCAACAGGTGATTTTCACCAGTTGTTTCACAAAATCGCCTGTTGTTTTTGGGGACTTTTCAAGTTTTCCATGTCAAATTTATGATTTCCATTAATTTTGCCTGTTGTTTTCGTTTATTTAGCCTGTTGTGAGAAATGTAAGTAAAACCCCTGACTTGGCACTCAATGTAGAAATAAAAACTAAATTATATTACAGGGTGTCAAATAAGTCCCGTCCCCCCTGCTACAGCTAAAACCTTAATAGATGGTACCTAGTGTAATATACCATTGGAAAGATCCTCCAAAGTTATGTTAACTCACTAACTCTCAAGTATTTTGGATGAAATTCACCTATATTTTCATGATGTCCTTTATAGTAAGTGTACCCTCCTTAAGCAGCTTTTATTGCATCAAAATGAGAAGGATATGACCTCAGAAATACATAAAAACTTAATCTTTTTCGCATTCCACTTGTTACAAAAAGGGTTTCATAATTTTTCCTAGCACCTCTATTTTCTACACATCTAACCCTATCCAGAAATTGGTTAAATTCATTCTTAAAATCCTGCAAAATATGCCAAATTGCCATGTTTCTAGGCTTATGGTCACCTCAATTGATACAATGTAAAAATTTGTGAGATTGATTGACATATGTCAGATATATGCCAATCAACGTAACTTTGGAAGACCTTTCCGATGATATATCACACTTGGTATCATATATCTTGGTTTAGGCTGTAGAGGGGGGACGGGACTTATTTGACACCCTGTATACTTTTCAATAAGCAGTCTGACATCAAGAGTACACATACTTCCTCCATCCCATTTACATCACTTTCCTTTTTATCACAGGTCTCCTATGACAGAGAGGGAACTAACAGGGTCTTAATACAAGACTCAAGAATTAGATAAGTTTATTATTTTACTCAAAAGAAATATCTTCATCATATACGTTACTGTTAAACAGAATTGTGACAAATCGTGGCCCAACCATAGTACAATATAACAGAGTCACGATATTGATACGGCAACTAAGAGGGCACCCCAAGAAGGTGCAGTGAGGTCGCTTTTGTCACTTTTAAGATTTCAAAATTCTCACTTTGTCACATTTAAAATTTACTTGTTATATTTTGTCAGATTCGTTCCTTTTTAGTCAGTCAAAGTATTTAATGCACTAAATAGTCTGTTATGTTCCATTGTTTGATTGCTGGTTAGAATAAGTCATCTTAACTAGCATCAATTAACATTCAGAACAAATTATCTATTTTTGTCACTCTCAAAACACTTGTCAGTCCGATAAATGTGCAAAATTGTCACTTGCAAGGATTGATTTGTCACATTTGTTTGTTTTTAAGTACCCCAAAGTCCCATTAAGTCACATTTTTAGAGGCCAGGTCGCCTTATCACATACCCCTTGGGAGCCCCACTAAGCTAATACTCATTAAGTGGTGATTCAACGGCCACAACATGATCCATCTATATCACCTTAGAGATTACACTTTCTAGGAACTGACCAACCAGGAAATATACTAGAACAATACCCAGTATAATACAGACCTTTAAAGAGACTAAAATAAGAACCTTTATCAAATTTACCTTTGAACACCATCAAGAACCACTGTATGTCAATAACATGGGGAAAAATGAACTAGGATGTCAAGTAAAGTGTTTATGCCAATATGTAATATATAGAAGAGTATATTTCAACCTAGCTTTCACTTCAAAATCATTGAGTACCAAGTTTTGTTCTTGCCCTTACATATATTTCTAGTATTTTAAGACCCTCTTTTACTTGTACCTTATGTTAACTTAAGGGAGATGTCATACCTGTACACATATCTTGATATGACAGCGATCATTTAAGTGTTAAATCTGATTTAATTGCCAACATAAGGAATTAAGTAGAGCTAATAATTTTAAGTTTGTGCTGAAAAGAATTGGACAATGCCTAAAACAAGACTTTTTACATCAAACTAGAATATACTAATCCTGCTTTATTTCCAGGAATTATACCAATAAACTGGGGGTCATTAACAGAAACTTTGTAAAGTTAAGAATTGATAAAGTATTGTTCCCTAACTGTGACGTAACTATATCCATGGTTACAACAATTGATTTTCAAATCCGTTAACTTTATGAAGTTCCTGTTAATGATCCCCTGATTAATAGAAATATATCTTACATGTAACCTTTGAATTTGAATGTGTTAATATGTAACTTGATCACTGGAAAGGGTAAGTATCCAACATTAACTAGTGGTAACTACACTACAGTATATTGTAAAACTAGTAATTACAGTGCTCACCATAAATAAATGACACCTGGATTTGCCGAAGTGAGGATTTCCCCATGTTAAAAAGAAGAGAATTTTCAAGAGGCTATATATCAGTGGATGAGAGTATACAAAATGTAAAATATACAAAACTTAAAGGTTCTCTTGGCGTCATAAATGACAAAATATTGCTTCCCGGACGAGATCAAACGACTTTGACATATTCTTTACCCTACCTATTTTGTATTTTAACAATCAACACAAGTAATACATACCATATTTAAGCAGTTATCGGACAAACTGGTAAAAAATACTTTTTGATTGATAAAATCATCGATTACGATACTTTACTTTACTTTACTTTACTTTATTTATTTATTATTTCATATCTTGACTTATCGAGCCCTCCATCAAAGGCAAGATTTTATCCTGATATCAGCTCTGACCTATGGCCTTTAGTAAAACGTAAAGGCTAGAGTACCGACAATTGTCGGTACTCTAGACTCTGATGTGGTGGCACGCTAGAGGACCGACAAATAAATTGTCGGTACGGGAGATATGCTGTGTTTACACGCTAGAGGACCGACAAATATTGATTTTCGAATTTTCTGGCGCATGCGCAATGCGCGGGGGGATATTTCAGATATCATACGGATATTTCGGGAACAAGTGCAAAACCCGGGGATTACCAAACCCAGTCAAAAAATGGTAGCCCGGGAACGGGGAATGGTAGTAAACGTTGAAAACCCAATAAAAAACATGAACAAGTAAGACGTTAGAGAGCTATTAATGCAGAGTAAATGGCTATATATATTCTAAACAGACAGGATATTTCTCCTGAGCCGATCAGGCATAGAAAGGGGCGTTTGCTACCCATTAGATAGAAGAAAATAGCAAGAATGTTTTTATTTGAAGCTTATGGTATGAGGTTCCATATCCATCCGCCAAAAGGTATGACCCCTATATAGTCCATTTAAAAACCTTTGGTATCATTCTAAATAACCCATAGTTGGCTTCTAGGGTACCTAGTATGCCACTATTTGGTATCAAAATAAAGAGGAGTTCAACTTTCATTTGAATTACGAAAATAGCGATGTAGGTGAAAATAGTTCCGAACGTGAGCATGTTTACTACGCGTTTGCCCGTCATATCAGAATTAAGGAAGTGGTAGCAAACGCAAGTTACAATAAACGGACGCTGATATCTCAAAAAGTAACCTGACTCCCTATAATTTGATGTAGGTCAATCGAACCCCTATATGGACAGGTGCATTTTGATATATAACACTATGGGGGGTAAGCGTTTCATAGTTGGTCACGAACGCCATATGTGCAAAGTATTGTTATGAATTTTCGAATTTGGTGTTGGATTACGGTACTCATACCTTATAGCACAATTTTTGATGGAAGTTGCATTTGGCTCCCTTAGTTAATGGCCACGATTCCATCTCGCATGAGAGAGCTACCAAACGCAAAGTAAACAGTGATATATTCTAAATTAGATATTTCTCCTGTGCCATGGCGTAGTAAGGGTAGAGAGCGACGGGGGCGAAAGCATCCCCTCCCCTAACTGTATATATCGACCATTAGATAGAATAAGAAAAGAGCTTTAAAATGTTTTTTAATTGAAGCTTGTAGGACAATTTTGATGGAAGTTGAATCAATTTAACTACAAGTTAATGCCTGTACGATTCCATACTGCAAAAGAAGCACTATGCCCCCCCCCTCAAAAGGAAAAAGTAGGACCTGCCGGGATTCGAACTCGGGTTTGAGTGTGTTCGAGTCCTGCTCCCTAACCACTAGGCTACCAGTGATGAGGTTATTTCAAAAGTAAAAGTAGTGGATTTATTTATGAAATTGTCGGCTCTCTAGCAAAAACACGTAGCAGCCACTTGCGTACCGACAATTGTCGGTTCTCTATCTGGCACTACTAGGTGACGATAGGGTGCCGACAATTGTCGGTACCCCAGCAAATACCCCTGGCCAGTCTCCAGTACCGACAATTGTCGGTCCTGGAGCCACTCCGTTAGTAAAATGTTACACGTAATATCATCTGTTACTATTCTTTCAAAATCTCACATCTAATATCCATACATGATTTTATGGGATTGTTTATGAATTATTCAACAATCATCACATCTAAACAGGTAACTATTTTAGACCGCAACGGAAGAAGGAGCGAGATAACAGTAGCAGGAAGCTTCTGAGTTTTACTCAGACATCTTCAGTTGCAAAGCTCCGGTACTCTCCCAGGTCTAAAGGATTCTAAAGCCCAAGGTATACGTGATTTTATTTGAACAATACAATGTAAAACTTTATCATGACATCAGGAACATCCAGAGAGCACCATGTAATGAGCAGAATTTGCTAGAGAAATTCAAATGATCAGATTCTAATTCAGTAAATAAAATCTGAAAAATGACTCACCTGATTTTATGCCTAATATAAACACTGCAAGTATAAGGCCTAATACAGGTCCTAGCGATCTCATAATTGTTTGTGATAAATACAAGTATCAGTTCTATCTTTGAATGTATAAATATAAAGTATATAATGCGATTTTGTTACTAAAAGCACTGTATTTTCGACATAGTTTTCTTCCAAGAATTTTTATAGACACACCTAAAAACAACTTTTACGCATGCGCAGCAAAATTTGTCAACTTCCGGATTGAGTCCGGATGAGCAAAACGCAGAAGAGACGTCACACAAATAGTGATTTTACTCCATTTTAGCGTTGAAATATTAGTGTTTTGTTGCTCAGAGTATTGAAAAAAGACCATGTGAATATGTATCCACAGAAAATTCAGCGTGCAAAACTTGTCAAACAGCCAAATATTGGACCTGCAATGACTCGGAAAGACATAAAGTAAGGGAATTTAGTTTTATTTTTCACCGCTAGGTTTACGCTCTTGAATTTGATTGGTCGACGTTGAACAGGCTCCAAAATTTGAAACAACAGAGGAAGTGAAAATATCGATATAAAATCACAAAATACAGGCAATATGAGCAGACAGTAAGTACAAAATTCTTATCCTACTTGTGCAAGGAGCTCTTTTGAATAGTATGTCAAATTATGACTGAATTTAATGGAGTTCAAACACAGATTTTTGTATTTTGAAAAACAAGCTGAAGATCATATCATTTTTAAAGAAAAATCAGTCCTGAGTCAGGCCCTAGTAACATTGTATGCACTTCAGTTCATTCCATGAAAAACAAATGGAGTATAGACATAAATCTTAAAATGAAGATTCTCGTGAAATATGAAGGGTCATATCATACCATCGTCACTCTGATCAAGGCCAAATGTCCCTACAACTCCATACTCCGATCCACAAAAATCTGTTAGCTGCTTCTGTGTGACGTGTCGATCAAGATCAACTTATCTTTATCCTTGAGTTGACATTTTCTAGATGGTACTACACATTCTGGATAAACTAACAAACGGAACTCTATTTTCAGGAGAGGTAAAACACCTCGTAAGACAAATAAAAGACCATCTCAGACTGACCCTGTTGAGGTAAGTACAATTGAACAATGTACATGCAGGTTATCCCGTGGCAGGACTATAGTCCTGTGAACGTCTAATTCTTTTGCCTGCACGATTACAACATAGGAGAATTTTCTACGCTTCTTACACTAAAGATACCTATTTCAATAGATTCCTTGTAGTTCCCTGTGTTCGTGTAGTTGAATCCACAATTGTCTGGGTTTATCGGCAGAACAAAAAAAATTTCGTTTTTGGTCGCAATATTTGCGTGTAATGTTAAACTTATTCAACCGTCAAATTCTCCATTTTGGTACTTCCGGGCCACTTCTGGGTCAGTCAAACGGGGAATCCCCTCTTAAATCCAACTGCCATCTTGGAAAGTGATGGAATATATCTCTCGATGAAAAAGAAAAATGTTCCCGTTCTGCAGACAATTTTGGATTCAACTACACGAAAAGAATGCTAAAATACCCAGGAATCTATTGAAGTAGGTATCTTAAGTATAAGGGGCGTAGATAATTCTCCCAAGTTGTAATCGTACAGGCAAAAGATTGCGCTCGATGCAGGACTATAGTCCTGGCACGGGATAACATGCAGGAGTTTCTACATCTACATCAATAATCTGCAAAAGGCCAACACGCCCATTTAAAGCAGATATACAGTTTAACAGGGATAGAATTTGAATATAACACAATATAAACCTAACATTTAAAAAGATAGATCTATGGTTTACAACTGATTTTAAAATTGAAAGGAAACTCCCTGGTTGGTTCATTAGCAGCAGGCAACAGGTGATTTTCACCAGTTGTTTTCATAAAATCGCCTGTTGTTTTGAGGGACTTTTCAACTTTTCCATGATAATTTATGATTTCCATTAATTTTGCCCGTTTTCATTTATTTAGCCTGTTGTGAGAAATTCTAGTGAAATCCTTGATATGTAATGTCAGCACACTCTGCTGCAGGATATTAGATGATAAAAAGAATGTACAAACGTGACACATAATGATCATTGATGAATTTCATCATAAAATAACATACGTTTGCCCTTAAAATGACATACATCACATTAATTATACATGTTTTTGACATGTTGGGAAGGCAGAGTTTTGATCCTTAAGAGTTGTATTGTATCACTCATTTTCCTGTGAGGGTCAATGGTTCTATGACCAAACATGTATAGTGTAAACAGTATATAGTGGAATGTGATTTTGTTGTAGGTGTATTGCAGAATAAGACCCTTGAGCAATGATAATGAAGAGGTCTGCGTCAAGGCACTCAGCACAAATGTTGTGCAGCTCTGTCCCACAGAGGTCAGTATATCCCTATGTTAAGCATTCACTCACCTAAGTATTGTATTGTATTGTATTGTATTGTTTTTATTAAAGTGTCACAGGCTTAATTTCATACATAAATATCTATACAATCATCCAAAAAGCCTCAAGCCAGCAATGGCTTATGAGACACTATTAATAATCAAAATAAATCATATACATAATAAGATGCCTTATTTGAGTCAGTTGCAGAAATATGATTATGAATAAAGCAAAAGTTCATGACCTCTATTACGAACATTGATTGATGAACTCGATCACTCAGTCAGTTGTTGATCATATGCAAATGTGGTCAAGTTATAAATATAAGTACAATTTAAGTCCATGATATTTTCACATATTGAACATAACACTCAGTTTCACAAAGAGATGTATACAAATCTAATCTACAATTAGAAATGATTGTTTCATGCTGTTTATGCATTGCGTATAAACTGTAGTCCAAAACATGAATAAAGTGAGCAACAGGTAGTTGTATGATGGCCCATAAAATCACATTATGTAACACCGGCACCCTGGTTCAAGTTGTAGTGCAGTGGTCCATGTTTGTAGATTTTGTGCATATTCCTTAAAACATACTCCGTTTCCAATTGTTCCCTGGTCTTCTTAGTTTCGATATAAACATTACTGTATTCCTTAGATTGCTTCAACTTTATTTTGGACCTCAAAATGCGGGATTTGTCTTTGTCAGACTTCAGTGTTACGAGCACAATACCTGCATTGGCATTCCTTTTTGGCAGTCTTTTAACTTCATTTGGGGACACTCGAATCGGATCATCACAAACAATTTCAGAAAATACATCACTAACCATATCTGAATCCTCTTTAGCTGATGTTTCTGGCAAATTCTTGATGACAATAATCGGTTCTGTTTCATTACTACTTTTGTCTGCATGTTTACACATTGAGTTTTCCAAAACGTCAACACGGTCTTGCAAGTCCTTGATTTTTTCACAAACTGTATTTACATGTTGTAACATCACATTTCTCTGCTGTTCAATTTTTGTGTCAAAATAACTTACCAGTTCATTTCGTTGTTGTTCCATCTGTTTAATGAGTCCGCTATTGTGATCCAATATTCTAGTCATTTGCCCCTGCAACGTTTGGATAGAAGATCCCAGTGTCATTATAGAGGCCGACGTGTTTGCGTCCATTTGAGGTCCCTTTGTACTATATCCAAATAATTTTTCAATGTTGTCAGCCATATTGGATTTTTCAATTTTTGATTTCGTTCCTGTCAAAGTTTTCATACTCTGTTGCTGATTATCCAGTTTAGGTTTTCTTGCTGGTTTTGGTTTACCCATTCTCTCCGAATATTCCAGTGTACCTTGATACTGTTATTAGTCCTTGTGAACGTTATGAAATCATAAAAAGTCGAATTTGCTTGGAGCTGTTTAGAACCTTGTGCTAGTGGTAATATGGCCCATATATACAATATCTATATAAGTAACTGTATTTATTTTATTTATGATAATATTTGTTAAGGTGTAGAAATCATGAGAATTGTCCAGTTTTGTTCTGTTTGGTTTTAGTCATATATTTATAAAATTTATATGATATTCAATAACATGCATGCATTTTATTGAATCATTGGATGAAATATTTTAGATAGGCAGATCAGAGGTAAGTTTTCATTGTAATGTATTTTACACACACCTTCCCAAAATACATCATGCTTCGTTCAACATTCATAGTATGGTATCATCGATAAATGCCTATGGATAAAGTCAATGGAAGGGTGCATTAGATGTGTATTTATATGTATTTTGCTTATAGGCATCACATGCTTACAAGATGGGTAACATCAAGGAGGTATGATTCTGCTGCTCTGTGCTTGCATATAACACAACCATATAGCAAGCAACGTTTTATTAATTAAGACCCCTCACATTAAACATGACAAAACAAGCCATTGCTAGATAAGATTTTTCAAGCAAATGGGCCTCATTGTAAAAAAAAGTGTATCAAGGGAGACACAGTGTCAAGGGAGACACGGTGTCATCTAACTGAGAGGTTTTTACTGAATATTTAACTGGGATCACATAGCCTCACCCAAAGCAACAAATCCTGGCAGGTCTCTTGCCAGGCTTTTAGACTGTGGCGCAACACCACACTCTATTTAAATCCTTCCACACCCTATTGGCAAATCATGACTGTTTCCAGTCTAAACTTGACTGAATATACAATAATAGCATGTAAAAAGGATAAAGGATAACATAAATATGATTTATCCCGATTGAACGGTTATTCTGAAGATGTTAGCACCACGCCCTAAATATTTCCTGGTGAGAGCCCTGCCTGGTTACATATATCTTGGAGATTGAAATGTGTCTTTCTTACTTTTCATAATGGGCCTCTGTCTGTGATTGTCTCTGAAACATTGGACATTTGTTAGATGTAATCCAGGGACAATTTTGGCAAAATGCTTGAACTGTGTCATATATAATTGCATGCAACTGTTTTGAATGTCTAACCTCACATTAAACCTATCTCTCTGTAACATTCTCAACAAGGTAAATATTAGTATTCTCCTAGACTCTTGCTATGTACATAACCTTGAAATAGAATAGGTCTTACTCATCTCATCGCTTATTTTCTACAATTCTTGAAGAAATATGCACATAGTTGTAGCATTAGTTGTAGCATCAACCCGGAAAAGCCTGACTACGGTAAAGTCAGATACCATTGTCACAAATGGCGGACATAACTGTCGCTTCAATTAGATTTTCATGAACTGTATGTTTAGTAGAGTGACAAGACTAAATTCCTTTGGAACAACAATCAATCAATGTGTCTTAATACTCATTGTACAGTTAATAATGTTCTACCATCGATATATAGTCTTTAATTTAAGCAATCAAAATGAGATACAGGACAACTGTAATTACCATATGCTATTGCCGTTGTCTTTCTGAATTACTCAAATTCAGATTCCGTTGTCATTGACGATATCGAAGACACTATATTGGTGCGATTCACGACCCAATTTGATCAAAATTGGGATTTCATATGAAACATCATCACAAGAGCTTAATACATGCACAGAATTAGCGACGATAAATGAAATGAGGACCAAGTGATTAAATAGTTGAAGCGATGGTTATGTCCGCCATTTGTGATTGATACCGTTCAGATACCGTTGTCAGGCTATTCCGATGTGAGCATCTAGTCTCTGGATCTTTCTTCTCTCATACTTTCCTTTTTATTATAGGTTGATAATATCTATCTCTTAAATTTCTATTTTGTTCGTCTTGCATGCAACATATTTAAGAAAGGTTTTACTATCAAAGTACTGTATAGCATATTAAAAATCATCATCCATGTATTTCATGTGGCTAGAAATGTGTATACATTTACAAACATTATCCCATTGTTCTCCATCTAAAGATCACCAGTTACTCATGGCTTAAAGTCTTCAGGAATTTCAGGTAATTTCAGGAAAAAATGAACCAAAATCTGACCACATTGAGTTCAATACAAATCTGGATTTATTTCTATGGGGGGAGTAGGGAGTCAAGCAAGGGGTTTATATTCGTCTACTTTTTCCTGTGAAAATACTTTTTCCTCTTAATTTGAAAGTATATGTAATGGGTCTACATTAATCTTAAAAAGCACTCAATCAAATCTCATTTATTCAAAATTTCTTAGAGGGAGGACCTGCCCAAACCCAACGATATCTTGGCCCGCGTGTTTCGTCATTTTATTTTCAGGAAATTTGAAATTTGATGCATTAAGCCATGCCAGTTAACGAAGCAAAACACAGAATTTGACATTTCAAGTATTTATTTTCAGACTCAGTACACATTCCAGTATGTGTTCGACAAATACACAAGCCAGAAGGCAATGTTTGACCATACAGCCTTACCCCTAGTTGAAGATGTCCTGAAAGGAAAAAATGGTTTGTGCCAGTTTAGAATATTTTTATATGGTGTCTTTAAATTGCATTTTATGTGGTTTATACCATTCTGATACGCATCACATCTTTCTGTTTCACTAAAACAAAACATGGCTGAGAAGAAATGAAATGCCATGGTTTATCATGATGGGTATATTCAATTATGAATAAAGGTCAAGTTCAAGGTCAATTTTAGTCATTGTTGAAATAAAATTTTGTTCTTTATCAGAGAATTTGAGGAAGGGTTGGCTTCAGTGCTAATATCCCTAATGTGATACAGATACAGAGACTTTAATATGTGTTATTTAAACCAAATGTACGCTGTATTTGTAGGCCTACTATTTGCTTATGGTATCACTAGTTCGGGTAAAACACACACAATGACAGGGCATCCACACGATCAGGGTATTTTACCCCGCTGCCTTGATGTTCTTTTTAACAGTCTTGAAGAGCAGCAGACAAAGAAATATGTAAGTCACTAATAGTAAGATTTTCACAGGATGCATCATGTTTTGATTGCTATATTTGGATATTGACAAAGACATCCAGTGTTCGGCTTTCAGGAATGAAAGTATGGTAAACTTATTCTCTTTTATTCATAATGAATAAAATTACGTAACGATTCAACTTGTTTCAGAAGTTTATTGAATGGTTGTTATATATTCTTAATTGCTATAATTTTCAGATAATTTGATGCCTGGTCCATCTACAAAGTCAGTAGTGCAAACTGATTGGTATAAGATTACTAAGATAGTGATGGTTAAATCTTTTATCAATTGTATGTCCATTACTTTGCTAGAACTGTTCATGGAATTTGTCAGTACATGTGTTGGTGCTTCGGTCATGGCCATTGGTGATTTTTGGCAATTTTACTGTATTTACCTTATTACAGGTGTCATTTTATTTGTGTTATTTTATGGTATTACCTTGCTTATTTTAAGGTGTATGTATGATAGAGAATTGATTGACTACCCTTTTGCTTTTTGGTTAACTTTTTACAACTTTCAAAATGGTGGCAGTTTTATTCTGGGTTTACATGCACAATATTTTCCCACCAATCAAACAAAAGAATAAAAAGAATTACCTAAATAGTGATGCATAATTCTGGGCTCTGGCCCTCCCTTTATGGCATTACAAACCAGTTGCCATGTTATTTTCGTATACCTAGTGAAAAAATCAACTGGACTGTTTCAAAAGTAACCTGGCAATGACCAGTGGATTAGCCTTTAGCTCAAACCCTGTTTATATATAAATGCAATCTGATTTTCGACGCCGTTTTGGTGCCAAATTTCGGTGCCGTTTCAGCACCAAATGGACTGACCTAAGTCCGGTGGCAAATGTTGGTGTCAAAAAGTTTCGGTGCCGGAACAGCGCTGAATTTTTTCGATGCCGAAACGGGGCCGAATTATATTGGCTTTGTAAGGGTCAATGATAGTAACATTAGGACCTTTGATGATCCAAGACTCCTAAGATCTGGGTTCATAACCAAAATTGAAAACCCTGTTAGAAGAATTATTACAGTAAAATCTGTGTTCAGTAAACACCACAAAAACGTCTTCATTATTGGAAGTTGTACTGTTCATGTTCACTACAGAAAGACAATACAGAAGTAGGTTGGTAATGTGCTGAGAAGGGGTATTCACAAGACACAGGTGCTCACTAAACAAATGTGTTCTCTAAGAAACCAAAATTACTGACTTTTAGGTTTTCAAGCCAGATAAGATGAATGGTTTTGATGTACAGTCTGAGGCAGATGCTATGGTTGAGAGACAGCGTAGAGATCTCATGCCAAAACTAATGAAGACCCCACAGACACCAAGATCCAAGTAAAATATACATTATATATAAACAACAGATCTTTCAGATATTTGAATGGCTTCATCATGTGAATTCCTTACAGTAAAGTCCCTGTTTTGGGTGTAACAATAAATGTTACATACAGTCTCGAAGAAACTAGTTTTTTTATTATGTCATCACCATAAGTTATGGTCTCCAACTTATATTCCCCACATATGGGATCTACATTGTCATGAAGATACTTGTCCTAGTAAAACCATGCTTCCTTTACTTCTCTAGGGACAAAGGTGCCTTCTGTGACTCCGGTCGTGTTAAGGATCCCTCCAGAGTTGATGGTGTAGAAGAGGATAACAATTATGCTGTGTTCGTCTCTTACATTGAGATCTATAACAACTATGTCTATGATCTACTGGAGGATCTCACATATGATCCCATCACAGGGCTCAAGTGAGTCTGTTTAAGTTTTTTTTCTTAAACATTAAAAATTAATGGCAGTTTTTAAAAATGGATTTACGTATTTTTTTGAAAAAAGTCATTCTTCAGTTTATTGGTCTGAAAATATATTTTGTGCCATTTTAATTGGTTAATTGCTTTGTCAATTGTAGAGAAGATTGTAGCTTCAGTGTTTACGTTCAGGAATAAACATAAATTACATCTGCATAATATAATAGGGCAATTCTGGCATTAATGCCCTGTGGAAAGTTTGAAAATATAGTTTATCATTCAAATATTACTTTTCCTGACTTGAAAAACTATTTGAGAAAATGTAAATTTTTAAAAAAGTTCATCTTACAATATTTTGTTTTTTTTGCTAAACCTTCAAAGGAGCAATTTTTTAGTCTACCATTTTTTGAATATTAATGTACCATTTGATTCAATGAAAACTGATTTCTCTCTTTGACCCACTTCTCAAATACCAGATTTTGATAACATTGGGTAAGACTATAATATAAGCCAAAGTGGTTTAAACATTACATGGGGCCTTAAATATTTGAATTCTGACCTTTCTATTACTAGGGCTCCTACATCCAAGAACCTGAGGGAAGACAGCGATCATAACATGTACGTCAGCAGTGCAGTGGAGGTAGAAGTGAAGAGTTCAGAAGAGGCACTTGAAGTGCTATGGAAAGGTAGGAGTTAGTCATTGAACAAAGTTCGGGGGAATGGTATAGAGAACGGCTCCGTTCGTAGATACATACATTAAGGCAATAACTCAAATGCTGTTGCCCAATATCATTTATGTTTTACAAGTACAAGTTCTGCTCGAAGACAAATTTTCAAAATGGCCACCATTTAGTGTCTATTTTACTGAATTTTAGGGACAACATATAAAATTGTAATATTTTTTATTTTATGTTTTAAATGCAAAAATTCTTGATTTTTATTTTGCTGTATCTTGAAAAGTAGAAGTATTATGTTTTTTACTTTTACTCGAAATTGGAAACGATTGTCGAAATTTTATATGTCAGTACTTCGAAGCATACTATACTTTCCAATGACTCTTTTGGTAGGAAACGATCATTTTGAAAAAATGGGGGCCATTTTATGTGTGTTATTTCATGTTTTTATAACTGAAAAAGTAGTATAATGATTTTGTTTATATTTCATATGTGAATACTTGCATACTACATTGTCAAGTGACAATTTGGGGTAATACAAGGATTTACGACGCTTTGGCGCTGTTATCTAGTATTTTTGTATGTTTATTATACAGTTAATAATAGTCTATAGTCATAGTCACCTGTTACTACCAGCATTTTAGTGTTTGCTTAAGTTTGTTTCTGAATGTTTTTCCAATCAAAAAGTAAACTAAAAAATTTATGGCAGAATTGCTTGCATTAAGAACAATTAGAGTGTAGGATACAAAATAGTCATCTTCGTTCCATTTTGTAGATTTAAATTCTGTGTAATCATTGATTACGTCCACAACAATGTATACATTGACTAAAATTGATACAATAACAAAGTAAAAAACAATCACTATGAGTTGAATAGTGATTTTCTTTTCTTCTTTTTGTTTATTTGAATTGGCAGCCACTTGCTTCTTTCTGAAGGCTTTTATCATCTTAATGTTAAGCACCAATACTGTAATCCATGGTCCTGTATATCGAAAGATTGGATTTGCGATGTTGTAGTAAATTATATTAAAGAGTGTCACATTCTGGAATGCAAATGTTTGAATAACATACACCCCACAATTTGCTTCTGCTAGTTTAGGTTGATGTTGGAAATCTATCCATGCTGGAATATTGTATATGGCAGAACATACAACTGTTACTATGATATACACATTTGCCTTTTTCACAGTCATTAATGTTTTTGCACGTAGAGGTTTACATATGTGGATATATCGATCCACTGTTACTAATACTATCATCCACTTGGAGAGTGTAACCGACATAGGTACCAATACAGAAATGTATGGTAAGATATAGGTGAAATGATGGGGCCATGTGGCGTGCACTGGAACACTGTTAGACTATTGTGAAAATGAGGGTAGTATAAAAACTAAATTCACAAATAAGAGTACCATAGAATCAACAGCAGCTAGCGTTTGTAGCAAAATAATCCTAGATGTTTTGATTGTGTATTTTGACATCACAAGGATCGATAACATATTCCCGGCCATTCCAAGCAGTGTGAACGCACATGAAATGATATATAATATCGTTATAAAATCAGAATATCGGTCCCCAATCTCTTTCCAAATGTAACCATATCTGCAGTATACTAATTCAATGTTGCTTTCATTTCCCGTATCATTGTAAACATTAGTTAAGACTGAAGTAGTGTTTCCATTCGTTGAACAATTCATCGTGACTAGTTATAGTTCTGATGTCTGACAACTGTAAATGTGATATCCTATGAGAGTTTTTCTCTCTTTGAGCTCAGCCTCGCACATCTAACTATTAAATGAACTGGTATTTATAAATTCTTACTAGATCTTGTTCTACCAATAACTCAAAAACGCAAGTCCACCAGCATGCACACGTCGATATTTTTGCTATAAATCAAGCAACAATAGTCTACACGGCCTGTAATAAATACTTGGTATCTGAATTTATTCATAGGAGAACATTTGAATGTCAGTATTTGAATTAGGATAAGAATTTAATGAAAAGATAATATTTATCCACTTAGAGGTTAAATTGGTTAGATTGTTGGAAGGTGTCATTAATCTGACTAAGTGGGTTGACATTTGGCATTTCAATGTGAATCTACTCTTCATGATCAATTATTAAGCAATTTATTGTCATTTAAATTAGTCCCTAGTGTTGTTATATACACTATTATGTAGCTTTCAATTTGAATCACTTATTTGGAAATTAATTCAAACAAACAAAAAAGCAGTAAACTTCTCCCTATTGTAAAGATCTCTTGTATATAAAGTGACACCATTTACCTCCGATTGAATAAACTAGTTAAAAAACTGCTACGCTTCTAAGATATGAAATCTATTAAAAAAGGCGCAAGTCCACCAGCATGCACACTTCAATGTTTTTGCTATAAATCAAGCAACAATAGTCTACATGGCCTGTAATAAATACTTGTAAGTGAAGTTATCATCACAAAAGTCGCTAGTAGGTGGCCATTTTGAAAAATTGCCGCCATTTACATGCGCATGTATGCAATTTTGTTAAAATTTTACATAAGCCTACTTCATTTTACACTTTCTGATGACAATTTGGCTGGTGAGTAGCCATTTTGACAATGGTTCCCATTTTTATGTGTGTTATTTTACGACTTTTGCTTTAATTGAAAAAGTAGCAGAAGGATTTTGTAAAAATGGCATGTCTGTTCAATGGAATTTGCTACACTTTGGCATTACTGTTGTCTAGTTACTCTTGAATAGCAAAAGTGATGAGAAAACGAATCTCTCAATTCTTCACCAAAATGGTTAAACTTTGGTAATTCTTTTCACTAAAATGGCTCTAACTTAGGCTTCAGTCAATTTGCGCAAATTAGGATTTGAATCAGTTATGGGTCCCACTTTACTACATTTACCAGACTACAAGTGAACATCAGATATTTTATATTTGATGTACATGTATGTATTCTGATTCCAACAGTTTGCAGTCAGGGAGCCTAATCAGTACAATTAAATGATAATTTAATTAGCCTAATTTAAGGGATATGTTTCATTACTTACTTAGAAACATCCTTTAATTAGGCTAATTATCTATTGATTCTTATTAAATTAAGGTAGGACATACGACCTAAAGATATTTTATTGTTTGGCTTACCTTATTACGTTCAATTCTTATCTGCTTTACCCTATATTTCTTGGTTCAAGGGTGGGTTGTGGGTTGTTTTCAGTAGTCATACATCTTTGAAGTTCAGTGGAATAATGAAGTCCTAGTAACCTCGTGACCTTGACCTCAGTCATGTAATCGTTGTCCAGGGGATGGATCATTCTTACTTGATTTGTTCTATATTTTCATATGTACTACTCCTCTCAACAAACTGTTTATAATTTCATAAATCTAATTATTGCATAATTATTATGTATTAAACTGTGTCCAAAAAGGAAATCTAAAGAATACACTGAACAATCCATAGAAAATACCTGTATCATTTTTTGTTATTTGTATTGATAGGTCAGAAGAGACGTAAGGTTGCCCACACAGCCCTGAACACTGAATCCAGTAGAAGCCACAGTGTGTTCAACATTAGACTAGTCCAGGCACCTCTAGACCCCCTTGGAGAGGAAGTGTATCAGGTAGGTACATGGCTCCATCCAATGACGTCATGTAGGTACGGTACATGGCTCCATCCAATGATGTCATGTAGGTACATGGCTCCATCCAATGATGTCATGTAGGTACATGGCTCCATCCAATGACGTCATGTAGGTACGGTACATGGCTCCATCCAATGATGTCATGGGGCTCCATCCAATGATGTCATGGGGCCCCATTTATTTGTTACACAGGCTACCGATAGTGGCATTCACATATGGCTCCATCTAGTGGTGGCAGGAGGGTTTTTATGTCACCACTTTGGCACTTTGTAATAAATGACATGTGCAGTGATATCATTTTGCATAATTTCTTGTTTATTTCTAAGTCTCTCACCATAGCAACATGATGTTTTAAAATATTTCAAGCTCCGGTCCAATGAAATTGATTTCAAACAGTAGCCCCAATTTTCGAAATTCCCCAGGAGTTGAATACATATCGGGTAAGACACATGTTTACCAGAAGTACCTTACAGCATTTTATTAGTTTTAAGAAATTGGTATTCAACTTATCATTCATATAAACCATACACAACATCATTCTCATACTGCTTAGGATAAAGACAAGATCTGTGTGAGTCAGCTGTCACTGGTAGATCTGGCGGGAAGTGAGAGAACAAACAGAACCAACAATGAAGGAAGTCGTCTTCGGGAGGCGGGAAATATCAACCAATCACTGATGGTGCTACGAACTTGTATCGAGCTACTCCGAGAAAACCAGAAGTTTGGTTCAAATAAGGTAATTCTAGTGGCTCTTTATTTTTCTTAATCAACTAAAATTGGCATCACTTTACTTTAATTGCACTGATTTGGGATTTTTCCCATTTTCAAGTGTAAGGAATTTTTGAGTACAAGTCCGTTCAAAATCTCAAGGGACCCAGTTACCTCAAGACTTGAAATATCGCTGTTAATCTTTGAATATTGCATAAATCAATGAAGTTTTGTACGTAAAATCTAAATTGACTGGGACTTCTGCATTGGTATTCAGTAAGGGTCTAACGGTGCACCGAAACCGCGGTGCTGCGCGGTTCTTGGGCCTCGGTCGGTACGTTCGGTTCGAAAACTCCGATGTTTGGTTTTTTAACGGTTCGTTAATTCAGAAAAAAGTGCCGTTCGCTAAAGTAGAGGAAGATGAATCTCGAAACGAGAGGTGAAGATTTCGGCATTCTAAACGCTCAAAAGTCGTACAAGGCCCACTGTTGGGGTTATTTTGGATTTCCAACGAGAGATGGTGTTCCTCTCCCGGAAAGAACGATATGCCGGCTTTGCAAAATCGTTATTGTATAATATGAGAAAGGTACGTGTGAAAAAATGTGAAAATTTGCTGTCTGCAGAAATAGAATAGATCAGAATTATACATGCTCCCGGGCCGCTTATTTATTATGAAATCGCGCCATCTATTTATCATCGCATAAATAAAATACAATGCAAAGTTAATTATTAATTTGTAAATAAAACTGACTTAGACCAGAGGTAAACTTGTTCCCGGGCTGCTCATTTAAATAATGAAATCGCGCCATCTTTTTGAGTTATTTGATTTTTTACATTAAAGTGCGATAAGAACCGAAAACCGAACCGAAACCGAGGAGATGAAAACCGTGAACCGAACCGAGGAATTATGAAACCTTGAGAGCCCTAGTATTCAGGCAACCTGTTTCATGATTAGGACACGTCCAAGCAGGATGTATGTGTGCATTTACAAAATAATATAGGTTATATTTGTTTTTTGTTTAGATGGTGCCATATCGGGACTCCAGATTGACCCACCTGTTCAAGAACTACTTTGATGGTGAAGGCAAAGTCAGGATGGTTGTGTGTGTTAACCCTGCTGGAGCTGAATATGATGAGACAGTTGTGAGTACACAGTCTTTTTATGTCCAGACAGATGTGGTCGGCAGTTGGTGTTTGGTGTCTGTAACAAATGGCAGGTTGTGATATTTTGCATGTTAATGCCTTGTTTTCTATGTCCGCACCAGAAGTGGTCGGCAGTTGGTGGTTGGTGTCTGTAACAAATAGCAGGTGGTGACATTTTATATATTAATACCTTGTCTACAATTTACGAAGGAAGGCCTTCATTGAGATATTTCTCATTTAATGATTTTGGCTCCAAAGCAGTCACAGACGAATTAATTCCTCACTTCATTGAATACATCCCCCAACAATCACATATTCACTTTATCAGCAGACTTTTGTATCCCATATTGTATTAAAATGCATTGGAAATGAAAAAGTAGTTAAAGTAAGTGAAACAATGACCACCTAACTTCTTCATAAATAGAAGTTGTGATTGATCTTCAATCCTAGAAGAAAATGCAAAAAACATATTTTCTAGCTTTGATCTAATCAATTTTATGTTTAAAATAGAATGATATAAATGACAGAATCATTAAACATGACATGTGATGATTAAGAAATTGCCCATTGATTGCATTTCAGCATGTGATGAGGTTTGCCGAGTTGACGCAAGAGGTACAGATTGCTAGGCCACAACAGGTTAGGTTTGACATCGGTCTCACCCCAGGACGTCGACGTATGAACCAACAGTACAAAGAGAAACTTGCTAAGATGAAAGAAGATGGACGTAAGATTCAAACTATATTTCAAATTTAATCAATACAATTTTGAAGAGTTTTTTTAAAACATTAATACTGAGTAGATTAGATTGACATTATTTGAAACATACAGTAAAACCTGTGGATGTTGAACAGTTTTTTGCTGAGAATGGTTGCTTTGTTTCAAATATTTATATGGTTGCTTGCCTTTGTTGTTTTAGTGGAGATTCCAACCCCAGAGAGAATGTACAGTATGGGACCACCTTTCCCACTAATGGAGGTAAGTTCACGCTTGGATTTGCTAAAATAAATACATGTACACTGTACAGCAAAGCCTGTTTTTTACTTTGCACATCACCAAGTGGTGACATATTGTTATAGTCTCCAACTTTTTGTAGACAGTGTTCGGCAGTTGACAATGGAAAGTTTGGCATCTGTTACAAATGGCAGGTGGTGACATTTTGCATGGTATTGTTTATGCCTTGTTTTAGTTTTTCATGAAATGCAAAATGAAATGTTGTTTGTGTTATGGTTGCTCTGGTGACAACATCACTGTACCCATGGCAACATTTAAACTCCTATTCAGACAAATGTGTAATTTAATCATTATTATTTGCAGCTATTTGAAGCACATGATAACGCTACTCTGCTTCAACTGGCACAGTTCCTGCATGATCGGGAAAAACGAAGAGCATCACTTGTTCCAGATCTGGATACTAAACGTAAGAATACTGAAATATCCAGAGAATTTCTTTGAATTTTAAAATTGTATTCCAACGGAATCAGATATATCAGCTTAGTTACCAGCATTAAGACTTGTAAATCAGACAATGTCTGAATAAAAGAAAAGTATAAAATCTGTATTTCGCTTGCATGTCATCTTTTGTAGATTGAAATTCACGTATAAAATGTACCAAATTTAAACATAACCTTTTGTCTTTTAGTTATCAAGACAAGTTCCCTCGAAAAAGCATTAATCCAGTTATTTATAGCATCTTTGAACCATTCGTGCTATTGTTCTGTCTAGTTGTTAATAGAGAATGGATAGCATGGTGGGTACTGTATATAATGCTGTGGTCACTTTTGCTTAAATTTTCAACACTAACACCCAGCTGATGAGTATTTTGTTCAAAACCGCAAAAATTGCAATTACGAACAAAATACTTTCATCCAGGCGACTGTACTGAAAATTAGAAAAAATATGACCAAGGTATAAAGTTTCCATATGATATTTATAGAGGACCAGTTCAGGAATCAGCTGATGGAGATAGAAGAAGAGAATGTCAAGCTAAAGGGAAGACTACAACAGTTGGAATCCATGCTAGGAGACAAGGACACTGAGATAACAAGGGTGGGGCGCAGGATACGTACCTTGGAGAAAGAGAACAGGCAATTACAGTCAACAGCTCATGCTTATGAACAAGAGAGACGAGAACTCAATTATGAGGTATTGTACCCACATAGATATGTTCAAACTTTATATTTTATTGATGGACTATGAGAGTAATTCAAAGGTATCATGGAAGATGTTGGTAAGCATCTTGACAAAATTTGAATGTTTACTCCGCCAATCTCTAACAGTACTGTGTGGTTCCGTTTTGGCTATGGTGCTGTATAGTTCCCTAAAATATGGTGCAGTATGGTGTGGTATTGTACAGTATCATGAACACTGTATGGCACCAGACTTGAACGCTGTCATGTACCATACTCTTAATGTACCTTGTGGTACCATGATTTCAGAGTGCATATTGGGGGTGTATTACATTGGGAAAAATGCTTTAGTTCATAGGTCTGAGGTTTAGTTAATGAAATCTAAGTTTCACCATGGACAATGTGTTCAGTACTTACATATTGTTGAATATTATAGGTGTCTGAGAAAGACAGTAAGCTGACACAACTGAGAGACAAAAGGCAAAAGATGAGAAATCAGTTTGAGTACCAAATGCAGGTCAACAATCAACAGTGGCACAAAAACATGGTGAGTTTAACTAGTTTTTGGGTAGGTTATAAGTTAACAGTCAGCCATTGTTTCAGTATAGCAGTTTAAGCATGTATAAATATGATCATACTTTTTGGAGCATATACAGGGCTCTCACTAGGAAATATTTATGGTATGGTTGAAACATCTTCAGCACAACCCCTTGAATGTGATATCATATTTATGTTATATTTTATCCTTTTTACATGCTATTATTACAATCATTAGCCAATAGGTTATGGTGGGAGCTAAATAGACCAGAGTTGTTCCACAGTGTAAAACCTTAACAAGAGCCCTGATGTATGTTTAAACATAAATCAACTCTGTTTCTAGACTGCTGAAAAGAACAAGATTGCTATGGAAGCGGCACAGGAGATAGCTGAAAAAGAACAAAAACTTGAACTCTTGAAGTCTATAGTTAATAACCAGGCCCCATTGTCATCAGGCTCTGGTTCACAATACTCATCTACGCCACCAATCACTCCAAAACCTCGTCCAAGGACTCAGACCATTTCTACTACGTCTAGTGCCAAACCAAAGTCAAGGTATTTGATGTGTTTTTAACTTTTTATGTTATCACCAGAAGTGGTGACATTTTGTCATAGTCTCCAACTTTTTTGTGGACAGTGTTTGGCATTCGGCAGTGGGCACTCAGAGTTGGGCGTCTGTAACAAATGGTGGGTGGTGACATTTTGCTTGTTAATGCCTTGTATTAACTTGAACTGAACAAAATATGAATAAAATATTTCAATGTATTTATATTTTAGTATGAACATATTGAAATATAGTATTAATTTAGATACTTGTGTAGGTCTAGTTCTGATTGGGATATATTTTGATTCCCATTGAATTAACTTATATTAAATGATGTTATTCTTGAATTTATCAATTGTGAAGTATTGACATTACATGACAATATGACTGAATCATATTGACTTGCACTCATTGCTAATTTGACTACTTCTTCTTTAATGTATTGCTAGGTATATTCCCCCAGCTCGTTCAGAGCCAGATCTGAGTATAGTACAAGGAGGCACCCAGTATGGACCCAAGCCTGCAATTAGGGGTAGACCAACCACAAGAGACACACACACCAGGAGAGGTGCATCCCCTCCAGCTGTTAAACCTGTGAGTAAACATAAAAAAAGTACTTTATGTAGATGTTTGAAAATAAGAATGTTGACTCCAAAGAATACAAACCAAAAATCTTTTTAAAACCAAACTTTAATTTCTTGTGTTATACATACATTACACACGCTAGATATTTTAACTGCTTCTCATCAATCAAACTTGAAAGTTAAAATTACTGATTGTTAGTGTAAAAAGGCTTTTTTACAAATATATGTTGCGATTGTTACAGAAACCAGTTGTGAATCCTCGTTACCACAGAAGGTCACGATCCTCTCATGCTGATATCTGGATAGACCACCAATCCAAAGGCACAGTTGAAACAGGTCAGTAAAGTCTATAGAAATATTAGAGGGTAGAACATAAGATCATCAATGAATAAATAGAGGTCATCAAAAAACAAAATATTTTATCACACAATTATTGTGTTATCTGTACAATAACAGCCAGTTCTGATATTATGGAGATCTGTGTGATATTTTCAGAAAAGCATCTATCAGCTGCATATACTCGTATGACTGATATTGTTGACTTGATTTATCAGATTATAGATCAGCAAATTGAGAACAATGGACATGGAATACATTTCAAAAGTCAAAATAGCAGTGATCACAGTTGAAAAACATTACCTCCCACTCTGCTTCCAGGTACAATCCTTCAACCAACTCTGAAGAAGAAGAAATCTGTGAGCAAACTTGAGGTCGCTGACACTAAAGAGGCCACTAGATATATGTTGACCCACCAGACAGCTGATAGTGATGGTGATGTAGCCACTAATCTCATCAAGGGTGATATCATCCCTACAGCTACTGGAGGCTCAGCTGTCATCTTTAAAGATGTAGAGACACTCAAACAGACCTCACCTGGGGAAAGGTTAGTCAATTGGTGTCACTATGTGTACTCCTTTAAAAACTGGATATTCTGTTTATCATATATTCTTGTCCGTAAACTCCACAAGAAATCTTCCCAGCTCATCAAGAACAAATAATATTTTACATGTACCACTCTAAGGATATACCGATTATCATTTTTACGAAATATCCTAATAAGCTACAATTCCAAGGATTTGCACATTTGAGGATAAAATTACAATTTGGCTTGTACCCTAAATTGAGAATGTCCAGTAATTGAAACTGTACACTGTTATAATATTATGTCTATGGAGATCACTGTGTTAATATTTCTTGCTTATGAGTTTTGTTTGTGTTTTTGTAGAAAGCGCAAGTCAAAGGAGCAAAAACCAGAAGAGAATGATGGAGAGTGGACAGATGTTGAGACCAGGTGTAGGCAGGGAATTGGCAACTTCCTATCATCAAAGTAAGGGTTCATTATAGTACACAGGACACAGGATCATCGGGGGTTTCATTCTCTACTTGTTATTTGTCACCACCAGAAGCTGTGACATAACTTTTTTGTGGCCAGTGTTCAGCAGTTGGTGTTTGGCATCTGTAACAGCACCGGTGGTTATTGTCTGTAACAAATTGCAGGTGGTGACATTTTGCATGTTTATGCCTTGTTTTTGGTGAGATCACCTGCTGTTTGTTTCACTTGGTTCAAATTTTGAATTATGGGACCTTTGTTCCAGTATTATGTTGGTGGGATTGGTGTGGAGTTGCTGTTTTTCTAGTTATTTAAGTCATATCTAACCATTTATTGAAAACAAACAAATTATTTAAAAAACAAACATTCATTCTTTTATTCATAACAACATTGATATGAATATGAAATTACAGTGTCAGGAAAAATAGAAAATACTGGACTTGAAACTATTTTGTGGTGCCTATAAATAGGACACCCAAAGTTTATCATCATTTTGGCTAATGACATATGTGTGTCATTACTCCATCCAGAGTTCCTCCGTGGGTTGATATTTCTTCACAATCCTCTTTCTTCTGTTAGCTTTAATATCATTTTCAATACATTCATTGCAATGACAAACACCATTAACACTTTCCAGGTGTTCAAATTCTGCTTGTCTCTGCTTGATGAGATCTTTCTGGAATGCTATGCAATCTCCTAGGTCTGCTATCTCTTTATTGAGCTTGTCTATTTGAGCATCGTAGACCTCATTCACTTCACGCACTCTAGCCAGCTTTTGTTTACTTCTGAGCAATTGTGCTTGTACATCTGGAAATAAAATGAAATTGATTAGACGTGGATAAGTTTCTATATTTTGAAATCTGTTTGTCATATACTTTCTAAAGTTGAACTTCCCAATGTCATTTAAGCTAGGGAATGCCACATCAAGTGAATACAAATGTGATGAGAAAGGTAGACCATGTAAGATAAAGACATAGGGATTGATATTTTAAATATAATCTTATTTTTTGTTTGAATGCAAATATTCTTAAGTTGCTTACCTCTTTTCTGTCTCTTAGTTTTTCCATCTTCCTTCTTTTCCCCAAACACGATCTGCATCACGTGAGCGATAACAACTAGTCCAAACAACATCTTGCCAGTTTGTGAATATTACTGTAACAAGTAACTGGTTGAATATCAACTTTTCTTCTTCAGTATCTTTAGAGCTGTTATCTCTTCGAATCCCAGTTCAGAATGATGATTTCACAGGTTTCCAATAACATTGTAACCATCAACATTGCAGCCATGGTTTCTGTGTGTGATGTCACATTGTTTGCCAATACTGTTGTGTCTGTGACATCACTGAAGAATGTTGTATTAACATTCATGGTTTGTAAGTGTGATGTCATAATCTTACCAATGGTGTAAAGTTTATAATGACATCACTTATAGAGTCATATTGATACTGTTGCTAATCTGAATTTAAGATATGTGTGACATCATAGTGAAGTTGATATTTTTTTTTGATATTTTAATGTTTATAGTTTCACCTTAGTGATGTTGACAATGTATACTGCACTACATATCAAAGCGATCTTGCCAATGATATGATGTTGACAACTGTTGCTAAGATATTTAAGATTTGGGTGACATCATAAGTTAAACCAATCTTTCGATGTAACAACATCACCTTAGTAACATTTACATATACATTGAAATATTACTGTAAATAAATTATCTCCACAACAAATCAATTGTCTCAGAACAAATAATCTTTAAAAGAAAAAATGTTCTGCATTTAAATTAACAACATGAATGATGGACCCACTGTAAATAATATTTGATTTTAAATTTCAACATTGAATAATGAATACAAATTGTTTAATATAAAATTCGATCGTTTCATGTTTTCCAGGAAAAGTAAAGGGTCAAGAGTGTGATGAGACCAGCTAGGCTAGGATAGATCTAGTAAACATAAAATGCTTATATAAAATAAGGTGATGGTGCAACCACAAAACAACAACCACTATCTCCTAGTCTTCACAGTTCAGTGCCATTAGATTCTAATCAGCTGGAATTCATCCATCTTCTACTACTGCTGCAGAGTACTAGTATATATGCAGGTGCAAGTTTCAAACGCATGCACAAATCTAGATACAATTCATCATTGAAGGAACAGTCCTGATTTATTGGAGATCAAATTTCTTCTACAGGTTATAATTCAGCGGCATAATGGAAGACCTTGATATCTGGAGATACAGACGATTTTGATTCATACTTTAAAAACAATGAAATATAAATTCTAAATTAGTGAATAACCAGCTGGATAAAATCAAATGAGAACAAATGGGGATACAGATTTGAGTAGAAAATCATGTACAGCAGACACATACAACATGATCAATGGAGAATTTTGGACAACATAATACGACCATTTAATAGACATCAACACACAACTTGGAACTTGGCAGATTTGTCTGGTGTTTATAGAAGGATTAGCTCTAGAGGCCTAGACATAGTTATTGCATTCAACTGAAAATGTATGGTGCTCCACATCATGAATTTATGATCTGGGAAGACCATCATTGGTACTTGGAATTGGAAATTTTGTGAATTATGACTCCTGTATTTTGATTTCAATCTTTTTACATTGCAACTATCACAATGTTGTAATGAAATTATATCTCGTTATTTGGAGCACCAAACATTCTTCTGTGAACTTGAGATAACTGGCAAGATTTTGTATATAAGTGAACTTAATAGAATTGCCATTTGCCACCAGGAATAAGCAAGGGTCCAATATTGTGGAGTACTAACTACAAAACTAGAACTGGCAATCATGAATTTTAACACATATTTATTGGAATCATGAAAGGTGCCAGAGACTTAAGGAGAAAGTCGAGCTATTATAAACTGTGCGTGCAGAGAAGAGCACCGATTTTATATACAATGTATAGTAGTTAGTTGTAGGTTTAGTTTTATAATGTTAATTTGTGGCGCTTATTGTATGTATGTATGAATGAGTGAATGTGATTTTAAGGAGACTGGTCAATTATACTTATCAAATCAAGAAAATCCTTACACTTGCAGTAAATGAATATAATTTTCAAAGCAAATCCAAAAATGCAATATTTGCATTCAACCAATATCGGAATATGTTGAGAGAGAAGTGTTTTGATTGTCATTGTGAGAAGCCTGTTGATTGTCATTGTGGAAATGTGTTGATTGTCATTGTAGCACATGTGTGTTTTTGGCCATCCGATACTTCTCTTTAAATGGCTCATCTATGCCAGATGTCATTTTGAATTATTAGGAGGCCCTTCAAGGGGCCTCCTATCATTTTTGTAGTTATTCTTCTTTATTTATTTATTTATTTATTATTCTTTTTAGCAATTTTTCTCCAACTTCCAGCTAGCTTTGACTTATCTCATATATAATCTTATTAGGGACCTGGGCTGGACTTGTCGGGAAATTAGTTCATATCTAGGTCAAGGTCAAAGGTCAAAATCTAGGTCAAATCTAAGTTTTTTTCAAGTTTCTCAAATCCTGACACTACACTTCAATATTTTTGGCTGAATTTTTGCATACAGATAGATATTAGTATTCTATTAGTCTAAGCCTTTTGCCGTCTAGGAAAATTTTGCCTAGATTTTGAGATATTGAAGGTCAAAAAATGGTCAAAAAAGGTCTTTTTTCAACTTGCTTCAAATTGACCAATTTTTTTTTAAAACTCATCTACAAGTTCTCAGGATTCCAAATCTGACCTTACTTTTGACCTTTGACCTTTGGTTGACCTTCAGTGACCTCCGAAAGGTCAAAAAAGTTGATTTTTCAAATCGATTTTCTGGATTCAAATTTAGGAATATTTATTCACAAAAGACCTTCTGAGGTCTAAAAAAGTAAAATTTGCAAGGTCAAAGGTCAAGGTCATCAAACGAAATCACAAACTGTGTTTTCTAAGTTTCTCAAAATTGGAGACTACAAATAAATTTTTTTCACTGAAAGTCAGAAAATATATTCCTCTAAAGGTTCTACACATATTAGCAATTGACTATTTATTAAAATTTTGCTCCAGTTTTGAGATATTAGAACTCAAAAACTGAAAAAAGGTCAAATTTCGAAATTTTTCAAGGTCAAATTTCAACTTGCTCTAAATTGACCAAACTTTTTTTTAAAAAGCATCTACAAGATCTCAGGAACTCAAATCTGACATTAGTTTTGACCTATGACCTTTAGTTGACCTTCAGTGACCTTCGAAAGGTCAAAAAGTTGATTTTTCAAATTGATTTTCTGGATTCAAATTTAGGTTAATTCAATCAGAAAAGATATACTGAGGTCTAAAAAAGTAAAATTTTCAAGGTCAAAGTTCAAGGTCATCAAACAAGATCACAAACTGTGTTTTCTAAGTTTCTCAAAGTTTGTGACTACAAATCAATATTGTCCCATGAAAGACTGAATATATATTCATCTAAAGGTTCTACACATATTAGCAATTGATTATCTATTAAAATTTTGCACCAGTTTTGAGATATCAGAGCTCAAAAACTGAAAAAGGTCGAATTTCGAAAATTTTAACTTGATCTAAATTGACCAAACTTTTTTTTAAAACTCAAATACAAATTCTCAGGATTCCAAATCTGACCTTACTTTTGACCTTTGACCTTTTGTTGACCTTCAGTGACCTCCGAAAGGTCAAAAAAGTTGATTTTTCAAATCAATTTTCTGGATTCCAATTTAGGTGCATTTAATCACAAAAGACCCCAAGAGATCCAAAAAAGTAAAATTTGCAAGGTCAAAGTCATTGAATTAAATCACAAACTGTGTTTTCCAAGTTTCTCAAAATTGGTGACTACAAATCAATATTTTTTGATGAAAGTCTGAAAATATATTCCTCTAAAGGTTCTACACATATTAGCAATTGATTATATTTTAAAATTTTGCACCAGTTTTAAGATATTAGAGCTCAAAAACTGAAAAAGGTCAAATTTCGAAAATTTTCAAGGTCAAATTTCAACTTGATCTAAATTGACCAAACTTTTTTTTAAAACTCATCTTCAAGTTCTCAGGATTCCAAATCTAACCTTACTTTTGACCTTTGACCTTTGGTTGACCTTCAGTGACCTCCGAAAGGTCAAAAAAGTTGATTTTTCAAATCGATTTTCTGGATTCAAATTTAGGTATATTTATTCACAAAAGACCTTCTGAGGTCTAAAAAAGTAAAATTTGCAAGGTCAAAGGTCAAGGTCATCAAACGAAATCACAAAGTGTTTTCTAAGTTTCTCAAAATTGGAGACTACAAATCAGTATTTTGAAATGAAAGTCAGAATATATATTCCTCTACTAAAGGTTTTACACATATTAGCAATTGATTATCTATTAAAATTTGGCTCCAGTTTTGAGATATTATAGCTCAAAAACTGAAAAAAGGTCAAATTTCGGAATTTTTCAAGGTCAAATTTCAACTTGCATTAATTCGACCAAACCTTTTTTAAAAATCATCTACAAGTTGTCTGGAGTTCATATATGACCTTGTATTAGAGATTTGACCTTTGGCTGGCCTTTGAATGTTCAGAAACGAATATAGGGCCTCCGTAAGATTGCTTGCAATCTTAGATCGTTCGATCTCTAGTTTTTACAAAATGTGCTTCAATAACCAACTGTAAATACATAGCTAGTCACAGTGATTGCAGATGTTATTTTTATGCCCATCAGAATTTTTAATGTGTTCAATCCGTTCAAAGTTCACACCTAATATTCCCAAAGTTGACCAAATCAATTTATAATTAGTCACTTCGTTAAATTTATCCAGTGTGTTCATGGATTCTGTTGTGCTCCAATATTTACAAGTTTCCATCCTCCAGGTGCAGGGATCCAGATGTCCTCTACCAAGTTCCTTTTTATAGGTGGAAAACCTAGATCTCTACAAATGGAGGATGATTTTGTGCTCAAACAAAATTGTACCAAGTAATGTTCAATTTAGACATCAGAATTCAAGGTCAGGTTTTCAGAAGAACTTCATGTGGATTTCTTCATGTGAACTTCATAAGTTATTATGGAAACACTTTTGTTCACTTCAAAATTCATCTACTGTAGTAATGATTTAGACTTAATATCACTCTGATGAAGGTTTAATATCATAGGCATGGATGTGTTCAAAAAAATAACTGTATTTTACAGAGGCCAATATTTGTAAGCAATACCGTATAAGATACAAGCATGGTGGGATGGCCTTCTCATTGTTAAATCCAAAAGTGAAGTATGATGTGCAAGTTGTGTTCTCTGTCTTTGTACAAACATTTTATTTCTATTTTAATGTATAACTACACCACAACTATAATAATGCAATTATAAAATGAAAATGCAAGAATAAAATACTAAAGCATTAAATAATATTTATGAGATTTTTTGTTTTTATTGATCAAAATGAGTTGGTTAGCCCAAGTACAAAATTCTTAAAATATTTGAATGGAAAAAAAATTGAATATAAATTCAATAGATGTGAATTGACCTGGCACCATACCCACCCCGCTGCCCCATGGTAGAACATAAGTATGCTCTCAAAATATCTCATTAAACCAAAATGTTTTTACAAAATCTTTGGCAGCTACTTAAGTCTTACCTCAAAGATGAATGACGTTGATGACCTTTGGTGATCTTCATTTCAACATTTGTATATCAAGAGAATTACTGAATAATTACCTAGAATGACAAGGTGATTGTTTTAACCTTTAGCATGCTGCCGGCAAGTGTATCCACCTGTGCTTTACTATCTCAAGGGACTGCTGGCGGATCCATCCACCCAAGTCCAAACTTTTTCACACCATTCTTATGATCCAATTAGATTGCACTATTTATTCAGTGACTTCCCAGAAATGGTGATCTTTCGAAAAATAGTTCCCAATTCAACAAGAGTTTTGGTGTTTTAAGTGAACAAATTGTACAAAATGGCCAATTTCCTCAACCAATATATCCCTCACCACAACCCCTACTTTCTACCCTCATCCCAAGGGGTCATGTGACAACCCTAGCCATGTTGGGCCTCAGGGTTTTATATCAGAGTCTTGCATAGTGAAATGTCTTATCTTTATCCTCTCATTTGTCCTTTTTATCAGCTGCTTTCTCTTGTTCAGTCTGCTGCTTTGAATCGTGCTTGGCCTTTGCTCTACCAACACTTATTAACAGGTGTGACATGTCCCAAAGACTGAAGGCCTGCAATATAGACAACAAATGTTTTTGTATCACAATCAAGCATACTGTCTTACGATTGGTCAAATTAGGCGATATTCACAGGTCATGCACATCAAACATTCATAAGTTCCATAGAAGTGAATATTCATAGAATAATACAATATCTTTTGATTCAACTTATTATATCATTTTTAGTTGATAACACTATCTGGATGAGTGAATACCTGTGCATACGATAAAGCTCTTTTGCAGAACTAGAAATGAGGTCAAACCATGGAAAAGTGTACAGGTACTATATAATCTAGCTTACCACTATGATGAGGCAGTTGACAAGTATGGGTGCCGAGAACAGAATGGAGATAAACATCCCATTGCTGTCAAAATACTGCTCTTTGGAAAATAACCTGAAAAACAATAAAAATCACAATTTATTGCCTCCAAGCACAGGGCTCAGTGATTTAGAATTCAATATCTTTGAGACAGATTCTATAAACGATATAAGAAATCTGAAAGCTATGCATACTTATGTACAATGTACATGTGCAGTAAATACTAAATATGACACTTTTGAGTTCACATTACTTTTGTGAAGACTTTCTTACAAAATAGTATTTTAAGATCGTGATCAAACAACTTCTGGATCAAACCTCAAACAAAATAGATTGAGGAGGATAAGAAATGACAAATTTCATTCCTTATTTCTCGACTAAAAAATGATAAATGTACTCACTTCCAATTTGATGATGCCCATTGATTGATGTGTTCAGAGAAGAATGCTATGGATACTGAAACACATAAATAAAAATGTTAAATGCTTGTAATTGACAAACGTAGCTTTGCATGTCATTTCTATTGTAAACTTTTTTTAAAATTCTCAACAGTACATTTATGAACAAGGCTAACAATGTATTCTTTTAAAAACAATGCTTTTAATTTTGAAATTGAGACTGTGTGACCTGAAGACTTCCAAACTCAAAACATTAAATATTTTATGAGCACTGTATGGAACAACACAATGTAACAATAGCCGAATTTCGCGTTATCCATGTCTGATAGCATACTGAGTTGAACTTTGCTTTCCAAAGAAATGTTGGGCTATTCACAAATAACATTTACAAAATGTATGCACAAATTGAACATCAAAAGTACAAAGAAACTAACTGCCGAGGTTATAAAGGTGTATGCCACAGGCCCAGGAACGTGATTGTATAATTGCAGCCCATTTCACTGTTTTATTTTGTCAGTAGAACCCCCAAAATAAGAAATCAGGAAACCATCAAGCAATAATATATGGAAAAGTATATTCATATTGTACATGAATGACATTTGTATATTTCAGATTATTTAGTTTTTTGTGCAATAAGCCTACGCCCTCTTGTAATTCAAAGAATTTCAGCCATGTTAATCTTTTTGAAAATACTATGGCAGTGAAGCATCAAGATATAAGAGGCCACATTCTTTATTGGCTAAACTAGAAGCAATCCAAGATATAGAAATGTCATTTATGTACAATAGGAATATATTTTTCCATATATATTGCACAATGATCTTTTGATTTATTATTTTTTAGATTTTACTGACGAAATAAAACAATGAAATAGGCTTTAATGCAAAATCAGAGTTTGTCGAATTGGAATTCCAAAGTAGAAATGATTGCTTAATTATGGGAAACTCTATTTATACACATTTTCAGGCTTATGGCGTTTGCAACACACCCGGCAACACAACAACATCTGGATAGACAACAGGGGCGGATCTGGGAACCAACAAGGGGGGGCCCAAATTTCAGGTCATAGAAAAAACTTCCGCGCTTGCTCGGAAAAAGATTTTGGACCCCCAAATTTGGAAATTTTTAGCCCCCCCCCCCTCAGATCCGCCAGTGGACAAGTATACTTACAAAGTGAGAAAAAAAGAATCATCTGTGTATTAGAATGTCTCCTGGTTACTAATATGAGGAATAACATGATGAGGTGGAATGCTACAAGTCCACATAGCCATGGTTCACTCCAGTTAATCTGAAAAATAACAAAGCATTTAGAAACTGAGCATCTGATATTTTGAATTTATATCCTATAATGCTGAACACATGTACGTTACGATAGTTTCATCTGACACTGTTTTGGTTACGGCTCTCAATAAATTTAGAAAATTAAAATTTTAATTTAGATCTACAGGAAGTCCTAATAAAACATTGTTTTCAGCCTTACTATTGGCAGTTTTTCATAAAACCATCATTCAAAATATTCCTTAGTATTAGCTGAATTTAATTGTATTTCACTTACTGATTTTAAATATGACAGAATGCCTTGAATTTCATCTATACGTATAGGTTGAGTCATTTTATTTTCCACGTATCAACTCTTGCTATTGAGACAATTTATCTCGCTATAGCGAGTTGCTGAACGAAATGTATACAAAAAGACAATGTTCCCGGGAACTAGACTTTCAATTTGTATACAATATGTAAGTTATACATGTAATACAAGTCAAATTGCATTTATAGTTGAATTGTTATTATAGAATGTTGTTATAGCACAGCTGTATATTTGTTTGGAAAAATCAAAAGAAAAAATCAAGGTTCCAAGAACTTATTTTCAAGGTGAATGTCACATTTATAGCAGGTCAAAGTGACCAGAAGGTATTAATTAAGCACTTACCTCCAAATAACTGATAATTCAGATATTGCAGTCTTACTCAAAAAGAAAAATCAAAAAAGTATCCTGTTGATTTTTAACTATGAAATTCATTCAAATGATAATTATAGTCCACAGAAGATGAAATACTGAAAAATATAGTTCTATGTAAGTTCATCTCTCTGGTTAATATATCAGAAACAAGTCAAATTCTTTACTTCAGAGAATATTTTTAATGAATTTGACTTGTTTCTGAAAAATATAGTTTATGGTGCCATGTAACTAAAACAATTAATGGGTGGTCAGTATAACCATGGACATATATCAACAATGTGATGCAATTAATGCTATGGAGGTTTATGGACTTGAACTGATCTACAATTATAAGTAAAAACAATTACTGTACAATTGTTTTTGCTTTAGCAGGTTCCTCATTTTATTAATTAATCACAACCGCCATGAACAAAGGGTATACAAAGTGGAATAATCTGAAGGATGATAGCCCTAGGGGATTGTTGGGTGGTATATAACTCACCAATCTTCCACAGTCTTCATCAACCTACAAGTTCAACCAAACATCAAGGTAAGAGATCAACTTAACATAGTAGTGCAATATATGTAATTGTAAGCTAACATTTTCAGATATATTTTTCATATTTTAATGTAGTTTGTAGTTTAGTTGGCAGTATAACACATGACTTGTTTTGAGATGGGGGGGGGGTTGTATTGAGATTTGGTATAACACGCCTTTTAGGAAATCAAAGACTCAATACAAATATTTCTTTGTGTCTTGGAGACAGACACAGACCAATTAGGCATATGATACCACAAACTTGTAACTATGGTTTGTTTTTAATATTTCTTTTACAGGTCTACACACTGAGAGTACCAGTAGTTCACCATGTTGACCCTAATCTGCATCTTAAGTGTTATTTCCATGGTAATTGCTGCTCCGGAAGGCTATGTCAGTGACAGCAAATATGAGATTACCAAACCTGGAGGTAACATGAGGCGTTTTAGAATAAGAAATAGAAACTTCTATATAAAACTGATTTGTATTATTATTCTGTCTTTTCTATACTGAGCTCATTTTGTAGATGTCCACATTTTACATATTTCAGGTTATGCAGTCAAGAACTATGGAGTTTATGGACGTGACACCTATGGTTATGGAGAAAAAAGCTATGGTATCAGACGTACAGGTTATGCTCCCAACTATGCTGGCTATGGAGATAAAAGTTATGGTAGACGCTATCTAGGATACAAAGTTAAGGGATACGAAAACTATGGCCCTGGATACGCTGGTGCCAGATATGCTGGATACAGACCTGCTGCTTATGGCTATGGATACAATAAAAATGTCCCATATGGCGATGCCTTCCCATACAAGAATGTTGGACCCAATGGTGCCGTCGTCAACTCACCATCCGGTCTGATTGTTGGTGATAATGGTGGCTACATTGATGGACAGACAGGCGCTGTGGTAGGACCCAATGGTGCAGTGGCTGGATCAGGATACGTTCGTCGTGGCTATGTTTATTAATTATAACGTCTAACTGCCTTGAGCATGTAAGTTTATCTTTCAAATTCTTTAAAATCAAATACTGTCTTAATAATCTTTCTTTCAATTCATAACCTATTGATCATGACCTATTGACAATGTTGATGCAAAACTGACCTTCGATCTCTCAAACTTAAGATGATTCGCCATTTTGTTTCCAGATGCAGTATAGCCACTATAGACAATGTATAAAGATAAGCATGGGACTCTGTTTAGACCAAAGGGCGGCCTGGCAGTCGTATGACATCATTAACTTCATCCTGATTAAAAATTGTCATTTATTGTAGACTAAAGATGAAAAGTAAACAATAAATTTTTACGAAGAAATAACTGAGCTTGAGTTCATTCATTATGAGGTAAAATAAGAAATGGCTCCCCTGTAACCTAGATCAACCCTGAACCCCTTGAATCCCAGGCTCTAAAATCAGTTGAAACCAGAGAGTTTTTCATTTTTGCCACCTTTTGACATTAAACTACATACCTATACAGCTTTACATGCTCAGCTTAGTACAAATAGATAACAGAGATAATTTATACACATTTTAAAACATTTTTGTGACAGATTTTCTCGTCACTCCAGGTAGTCAAGAGGTTAAAATACATCATCTTGAAAAGTGCATTCTATAAAGACTATATCCCAGTACATTACACAATTAAGGTGACATAAAAGACATATTTAACTTTCACTGTATAAACAGTGCTGCTTTATTCAGTATATAGTAACATACACCATAAAAACAACTTTATACATTGACCAAAACAGACTTCAGACTTTAGCACAATCAAATACATTTGTTGTACAATCATGAACATGTACACAACCAAGTACATTCGATGTACAATCATGAACATGTACACAACCAAGTACATTTGATGCACAATCATGAACATGTACACCATCAAGCACATCTCATGTACAATCATGCACATGTACACAACCAAGTACATTTGATGCACAATCATGAACATGTACACAATCAAGTACATGGGATGTATAATCATGAACATGTACACAATCAATTACATGTACACAATCAAGTACATCTGATGTACATATATGAACATGTACACAATCAAGTACATCTAGTGTATATAACAATCATGAACATGTACTAAATCAAGTACATCTCATGTACAATTATGAACATGTACATAATCAAGACCATGTTCACAATTATGTACATCTGATGTACAAACTCCAACATGTACAATTTACCAAGCAATTATACACACAATGCAATCATCATAATAAGCTTTTTAATTGTATACATATAGTTATGTTATAAATCTGATATCTATTTGGCCAAAGTATTCTCAACACATTATGACTAGTCAAAACTTGAACAATCTTCTTCCATAATAAAACCATCCACGATAAAATTATGTGACAAACTTTTTTTTATAAAACCAACATTAAAACATATTAAAATTACAGTTCCATCGAAAGTATAAAAGTTTCGAAATAGTTTGTGAAACATGATTAAAAGTTACTTGCATGGTATATATTCAGTAGAACAACTTTAAAATGTTGAGCATTTATATAACACATCATTGCATTTGTACAAGCTCTACGTACAATAATAATTACATTTTATATTAAGTAATGATTTATACATCTAATATATCACGTTTTCAGACTCAGTTTAATTTACAACTTATGGAAACCATAGCAACAACATCATGAATCTCCAATTAATTTTCAAACATACTTCGTAAAAAAACAATGTTTTTACATTGAGGTAAAAACAACTGAAGCCATTAGTTAAAATAACCAGAGTTACTAAAATGTATTTTATAGTAAATATATATTAGAAGTTCAAATAGTTTGGATTTCAAGATCGCATTTTACAAAATCAGCATATTGAGTATCTCCATTTTGCGATATTAAACACAGGAGGTTAAGCTTATCCCAGTTATCAAAGGCAACTTAAATTGGGATAACAAAATCACCTCCTTTGGTCATTTGGTAGAACCACTATTCAGCTCTACAGAAACATGACATCAATCAGAAATATGACACGTCATCATAAAATATGACATCGTTATAAAAGAAACATGACATATTGAATTAATCTATTTTGTGACTTTGTGAATTTATCAATTCAGCACTGTTTAGAGTTTGTAAGTATATGTGAATTCATAATGAGTTTTTGTAAACACATATGAACCCAATTAATTCTCTGTAAGTACACATGAAGCAGGGACGTGAAGTAAGTACATTTTGTACATATGAACTCATATTTAGAGTTTTTAAGCCGTTATTAACTCAAAATGAGTTTTTGTAAGTATGTTTATTTGCAATAAAAATGAAACGTGTGTACATACAAACTTGGCAATCATACTCCTCTTTATTATATTGCACAAACAAAATTGCAAGTCATTATTTATGGGATTTTTTCGAGGCACTTTGTTAAAGGCAACTTCAAACCTGCATCACATTCACTCCCAACTGTACATCTAGCCATGGGTGTTTGGCAAATAGCCTCTTTGACAGAAATCTACTCTGTATTTCCAATGTTATAACTATGCTTGAGTTTGTCCCTAACTGTCATTTGAATATGAACATTCCCGTTTGGTCTTGACTGTACATGCATTTAGTCACACAGTGTTTCTATGTTGTATTTCATGAAGTATTGTTACTAGTGAAGGGTTTGATCCAAAGACTGACCAAGTTCCATCAATGTCTCCTATATTGAGCTGTCCCTTATTGGAGCTATCCCAGTTCTGTGCTGTGTCGAGATTTAGAGATTAGAGCCATGTTAAAGTTTGGAATATCAACTTTGAGAGTTTTTAATGATATGAGACCAAATAAGGTAAGGTAATGGATGAGACTAGAAGAGACCAGATTCACGTTTCAGAGATGTTTGTTTCCAGCCTGGTAGATCATTGAACTCACTTCTCTTGATCCCTAACACATCCTGAAATTACAACGACAATGTTAATGTTACAGCACTAATCCAAACACTTCTCTTATTGAACATCCCTCAAATTCAAGCACCTTTCTAATCTTTTTACACTTTTCCGGTCCCACTTTGTATTGACTCATTGACTCAAATGTTAAGAAAGCTTGAAATGTGAACATCTCAATATCCAAACACTTATGGCTGGGCCTAGTATGAATTTACATGAACTTTAAGCAAACTCTTTGAATTTACATGAACTTTGAGCAAACTCTTTGAATTTACATGAACTTTGGAATGGCTTCATTACATTGACCTCATATCCAATACTTAACTGTGTGAAAGAACTTCGGGTGCATTAAAGTGCCACTTTCAATATTGATACTCCTAATATAGTGTAATCTACACAATGATACAGCTTTGAATATCTGTTTATGAATACACTCCTAAATACAAAAATCATGTGCATAGGCCTATATATTACCAGAAAGTCTTCCTCTGAGAGATATGTTTCCAGTTTGCCTGGGTCCACTCCATCAGGCAGCTCTTCCTGTTGTAATTCTTCAAGCGAATAGCGGGAACGAGACAATCTGGCAAGAATCTGCTTTACAGGCACTGGTTCCCGAGATTTCTTGCCATCCTACAATTTAAATTCATCTATTCAACAATCAATCATTACGATAATAGAGCAAAACCTATCTTAGTGGAACACCTTTGGTACCTCTAAAAAGTGTTCTCCTTGAGAGGTGTTCTACTTATTCATTTTACATTAAGTCAGTTGGTCTTGGGACTCTGAAGTCTTCCACCAACAGACGTGTTCACTATACAGGTTTTACTGTACACAAGTTTACATGTTTTGTTTTTATTGTTTCCAAGTTTTACAACTTTAGTATGTTAAACATGCAAAGCGTTTATGATTAAGATGTTTAATGTTTAAAGTTTATACTATTTATAACTTATTTCATACCTTGATCTGAGCCTGCCTTGCCTCATTAGAGTCCGTCCAGGTAGGGAAAAGATTGGTGAAGGTCACCGACTCCTGGCCTCCATACACAAGATAGGCATCTGTTTCTGGGTGGCCAATTTCTAGAAATAGATTTTTATTTTATTGAATATATTATTTTCAAAGACTGATTAAATTAAAGGTAGTTATTAGTAAATTTATATGCTTTTAAAAATGTCTCGGTCAGAGTGGCCTGAGAGGCACATTAATTCACGTTTGCAGTCATCATTTATTGAAGTTTACAAATGAGGCTTACATGTGGTACTGTTTTGCTCACATTTTATACATTTATTCAAAGGTTTCAGACTGGACTGTTTATACGTTGGACCTGAGTTCACTCACTTAAAGGGACTACAATTGACAATCACTTGAAAATAGTTTGCTCACATAGAGAAAAGTTCAGTCATATTTGAGAACAGTTCTCTCATATTTGAGAAAAGTTCAGTCATATTTGAGAAAAGTTCAGTCATATTTGAGAAAAGTTCACTCACATTCGAGAATAGTTCACTCACATATAGAATAATTTGAACACATTTTAGAAAATTTCACTCACATTTGAGAAAAAATCACTCACATCTGAAAAAACTTCACTTGAATTTGAGAAAAAAATCACTCATATTTGAGAAAACTTCACTCAGATGAACAGTTTGCTTTGTTTTTAAGTAAAATTTGCTCACCTTTACAGTAGTTGAGAGTAGTTTCCATAGCACATTTTCTGTCAATGTTGAACCGAGCTATGGCTGATCCTGTTTTGATATTTTCTTCACCCTCCCCATCCTCAGGCCACCAGCCTTGCCATACATACACACAATCATCACTTTCCACAAGGAAAAGGGCTGCAACAAACATGATGAAATGTGGCTTCTCAAAATCTAATAGCTGTCTATGCTAATACTGTAAAACTAGTCTTAGTGGAACACCTTAGGTACCTCTAAAAAGGGTTCCATTTTGGAGGTGTTCTACTTATAAAGGTTCATTGAACACTAAGTCAGTTGACTCTGAAAAGTGTTCCACTGACAGAGGTGTTCTTCTTTACAGGTTTCACAGTATGTAAGTTCAGATTTTCATATACTGAACATGCCACATACTCTGCAATTCAGAATAACAAATATATTCTGTGTTCAGAAAACTAGTCTAAATCGAAATCAAAATTCAAAAAGATGGCGTACCAGGTTGTGAAGCCTTATAGAGATCATCTTGAGTGAAAGGGAATGGTGAACAGACATCGTCCTGTCTTGCTGGGTTCAGAAGCTCGGTTGCCTCGAACACTCCACTCACACTGGACATGTAGAATAAACGTAGTGTGTGTGTGAATGGCCTGGAGACCTTTAGCAGGCAGTTATAGATGCTTTGGTCTTTCTCCTCCAGAGCTACCCACCAGCTATTCTTCTCCTCTCCTTCTTCCATCTCTGTGATGATTATACTGGCATCCTCATGTAGGCCTACCTCTTCAGGACATCTGCATAAATAAACAAGGTTTTTCATGAAACATGTATAATAGGGTATGTCTATGACACATGGCTCGTTCAAGGAGGGGGCCGGGGGTTCCTGGGTCTGCCCTACATGATTCTTACGGCCATATGGAATATTGTACACCCCCATGACAAATACACACAGTAATTCTTAAAACATGAATTAAAATATTGGCTAAAAATATCTTATTTGAGATACTGAGATACAAGCTAAAATCCCCAATTAACTCACCTTTTCTTCAATTTATTGGCAATACCTAGTGCATTAACTCGTGCTGATTCTGGCGATTTACACCCATGCCACACATAAAGTAGTCCAGTTTTGACATTGAGCAAGAGAAATGAGGCCCTACTGCGTAAACTGGTGGTGAAGCATTTCACTTCGACTAGATAAGATTCATTGGCAAGTTCGTTTCTAACAAGATATAACCTCCAAGGACCCTGGGTATTGGTTTCCTCCTCTTCTCTCTTTCCAATATGGATGATCATGAGGTCAAACAGGTTGAGGAAACATGGGGGATCCCTGCCTTGTACTACACGCACCTGAAAAATCAAAATAGATTTAGATTCAATAGATTTTTTAATCAAAATTGTTATGCAAAAATTTATACTTGACTGGTTGCCATGGAATCATATTGACAGGTGACTGATGGAAACATTGATATTTAACTGTTGTTATGGAAACAAATATTGATATTTGACTGGTTGGTATGGAAACATATTGATATCTAACTTGCTGATATGGAAATATATTGATATTAGTTGGTCCATCCTTGGATCTTCTCCAAGCTACATTATACAGTAAACCCATGGCGAACAATCATAAATATAATGGAATTATTTCTACATTGATGTGATTAAATACAAAAAAGTCAGAGCAAACCAATTTTTTAAGTAATGTTTTAATTAATTCGAAGTAAGTAATTTTACCTGTGGTCCCCTCTCCTCATCCAGCTCTACTGTCATGAGTGCAGATGCCCCCTTCTCTGTAATAGAGGATCCCTGGCCCTGCCAGAAGAAATATGCGCACTTCTCCCTCCCTGTTCTACCCCCATGTCTTGATGCAGTACCCTTTAGAGATTTCATACCTGAAACAGCAGAAACAGTACTTGACTAGGATGGGGAGGGGTCTATCGGGATCCTAAAATATGGGATCCTAAAATATTTTACATCTTATATATTAAATTTTTTAGGTTTAACATACTGTCAAGTATTCCTAGCGTTACATTCGAACGTGAATTTTACGCATTCAAAATACTATACTCGTACATGTGGAATTCATTATTCAGTAAATCATTCCATTTGCTGATTGGCTCATTAGACGAGAATTTTTGGGTTTAAAGTTATGATTTCTAAATGGTGAGGAGTCTACAATGATCCTACATTGTATCTACCACCTTATACCTTATCACATTGGACCCAATATCAGTATTGGGGGGGGGGTCTAATACACCCTCTCCTATAATGTATCATGAATCTCACCTGACTGTGTTATCATATACTGCCACCTAACAACGTATGTATCGCCCTCGTGGAACTGTCCATGGCTTGGTTTTGCTATAAGATTGTGTTCATATTCCAATACATGCCATTCCTGGACATCTAAGGTGACAATCTCAAACTCTCGGAATATTCCATCGAGGTCCTCAAGCCTGGAATCAGATATTTAAAGGTTGTGTCCGAGATGCAAGCCAGTCTTTGTTTTTCAGAAAAAATTGAAAACTCTGAAATGATTTTGGTTTCAGTTTACTGTACACTTACTGTTTTTAATCATACATGTATATTAAAACAAGGAAATTCACACCGGAATAGCCTGAGAACAGTAAAGTCAGATACCGTTGTCACAAATGGCGGACATAACCGTCGCTTTAATTCGATTTTCATCAACTGTATCTTTAATAGAGTACCTAGACTAAATTCCTTTGGAACAACAATCAATCAAAGTGTCTTAATACTCACTGTACATTTAATAATGTTCTACCATCGAAATAAAGTCTTTAATTTAACAAAATGAGATACGGGACAACGGACACTGTAATTACCATAAGCCGTTGTCTTTCTAAATTACTCAAATTCAGATTCCATTGTAATTGACAATATCGAAGATGCTTTATTGTGGCGATTCACGACCCAATTTGATCGAAATTAGGATTTCATATGAAACATCATCACAAGAGCTTAATACATACACAGAATTAGCGACAATAAAATCCCATGAAATGAGGACCGAGTGATCAAACAGTTGAAGCGACGGTTATGTCCGCCATTTGCGACAAGGGTATCTGACTTTACAGTGTTAGGCTATTCCGGTTTGAAATTGAAAATATGCATTATTAATTCATTTTTACATTTACAACAAGTCTCTGGACACCTCTGCTCTACTTTCTTATAGATGTGAGGTGCTAGGGGAAATAAAAGAACAAGAACTTGGTAACAATTTTATAATACCAATAAATGTTCACTATACTGTAGTTACTTACCATTTAGTGCCTCTACCAACATGACTGCCCTCTAGTACCAGATCAACTGGATTTGAAGGTTTGGCTACCATCAGCTTGGCATCAAATGCCTTCAATGCTTCTGCTTCAGGCTAAAAGTACAAAATATATAGAACATCAAATTACATAAATATTTCCTATAACCTACAATAGCTTTAGTCTTAGTCACACTCAGAGGTACCAACGGGTCAGAATGTCAAGGTCATCAAAAAATTCAATATATAAGGTCGAAGAAATATTTGGAGCTTATGGATTTATTTAGACTGCACTATAAAGAGTTGAGACAAGAGATGAGATTTACACTTTATAAGGTGTTCCCCTAATGGAGATGACCGCTTAGATATGCATTACATTATCATGACATCAAAGTGTCAATGGTAATGGTATGACATCAAAGTGTCAATGGTAATGGTATGACATCAAAGTGTCAATGGTATTCCTAATCAAAAATCGTAAGTTATCAAACCCACCTTGTTAGTATTTTCAGCAGGATTTTCTCGGCTTTTGGCAGCTATTAGACGTGACTGATCTGGCCAATCAGAGAACTTCTCCCTAAATAATAGTGTCTCCATGTTCTGATTCACTTTGCCTAGCAACGCCCAATCAGGCCGCTTGTTATTTTTATCTGGGACACCACCATTCTCCTCAGCTAAAAATCATTACAAGATTATCTTTATTTCATTTACTAGTAGTAAGTCCACCACTGAATACTTATATGCAATAATATCGACTGGCTAAGTGCCTTTAGCAAAAGCCAACAGCATTTTCCTATATGTAGTTTTTTAATACCCTAACAACTTGTATATTTCCTTTGTAAATGCTGTACGATATCATCCACTCGAAAATGATTTTGATTTTGATTTTGACCACTTCCAAAATTATAAAAATGAGATTTTTACACCAACCACTGATGGAATAAATCCTGGGGAGAATGGTGACATGAAAGTCAGAAAAACAAAACTTACTATGAAGAGGAGAGATTGGGTTAATATTGCAGTTGGTGTAATCATACTCCGCTTCCCAGAGCTTCTGAGCAAGTTGCAACGAGAGTTTGCGTTTCTCAAATGTGGCCTGTTTTCCCTGCCACACATACAACTCACTGCCAAAATCAAACACAAACACCTGAAAAATAAATTGTTTTTAATTAAAAGTACTAATAATCACTTAAAGATGGTGTCTTATTTGCGGAAAAACAGTTCTACTTTGCCCTCAAAACTTGAAAATGTTGATCTGCTGTTCAAAAAAATCAAAATCAAAATTTTTCACAAATAAAATCTTCATTTACTCCCACATTCTCTACAGATAATGACTTCTTTGACAACAGTTGACAATTGAAACCACCGTTTACTTATCCTTATTTGAGGTATTATGCAGAATTGTAATTACATGTACAGTTTTGCATGGATTTATTGCTATTAGGTACTTTTAAAGATACCTCCTGTTCAGTTTTGGATTGGATTCATATTTGAGGTCAGACACATAGGGCCTATCGCCGTTTGAATAATTAAGCACGTTTTAATATTCATGGATAATACAACTGATTTACCAACCTCTTTGCTATCAAGCATCTCATATTTTGGAAGACTCCCCCAGTATTCTTGGTATGGCACCAGTTCTTTCTTATCCCCTACTTTATATACAGCATTAGTCTCAACCATGTACATCTCATACAGTTCATCTTCCTCTGCAGGACCCATATCTTAAACAGCATAAGCAGTATAAACAGCTACACATATTGGCTAGAATTGGAGCATGCACGATAAGCATTGAAAAGTTCCCTGGCATCAAGTTATAAACCTATTTGCGCCTTGTATCATTGAAAATTAAAAAATCAACTCACAGCCATGTTGAAACAAAATTGCATCTAGTTGAGAATATGAAAATTGCATAACACCCAGCTAAAAAACCTATATGCACCATGCACCAAGATGACAAATTGAAATAATGTAAAGATCATAAATCTGATACCGTATCAAGATACAACTGATATTCACCTTCATATGGCTCCTTTCCCCCTAAGAGCTCCCAGAACACCTTGCCCTGGCCTAGATGTTGCCTTTTCTCAGGTATGATTGCTGCCTCCTTTAGGCACTTGCATCCCATCTCTTTCTTCTTTTGGATCATATCTGCAAGCTCATTGGCCTAAAAAGAAACCATAACACATGTAACATGGGATATTTGTACCTCCTTTGAATAGAATATTAGAAGTCGACACATCGCAAACGTTTCTAAAAATTGATTAAAAACTATGCATGGTGCTTTTTGTTAGGATGTATAGGTTTTAAGGTAATAAGTCATTGTTATCCAATTATTTATTTGTGATTATTTACCTTGGCCTTTTCTATGACATTGGCATATTCTCCAAGCCAGCAGAAGACTCTGTCAGAGGTGACCAGGATGAAACAGTCCCCACTGTTGATAGAGCTAGCAGTGGGGGCCACCAGGCGAGTCTGGACATGTCTTCTCCCTTAAAAGAAATACATGTAATCCATGTATACACCAATATGTACATGGAATAAACACTATATCCCTTTATGTATATGAAATCAACTTTTTACCAAGCAGAACAAATACCTTCTAAATAAACATGGAAATACTTCAGTTAATAAAAATCTCTATTGAAAAGTGCAAAGCAGGAGTAAAATGGAGGGATCGGGAATGAGTGAAAGAAATAATTGTATTTTTTCAAGGAAATGTTGATTATGAGTACATGTATTATATATTCAGCTATTATGTTTGCTAGAGCAGTGACATCTATATTAACTTACCCTTAATCTGCATTAACATGAGATCTTTGTATGGCTGCATCTTCCTAGTGGTATTCCCAGAGTCTGAGCGTCTGAGGTTGACTTTAGCAAAGTCTTCTGTACTTGCTAGTCCGGCCAATGCAGCTTCTGCGAGACCAGCTTTCACTGAGACTGAAAGCATAGAATTCAGTCATTTGAAAGCACTTTTTAAAATAAATAAAAATGTGTAATACATCTTGTATTTTGTATTCCATTTACAGGATTGAAAGATAATGGAATGAGGACTTAGTACTATCACATTTGAAAAGATGTAATAGTCTATTCTTACTTTTCTCCTTGTTGACTCGTTTGAATTCCTTCTCTGCAATGTCTGTCTTGACCTCTGTGTAAGTTTGCTGTAAGTTCTGATGTGTGGACAGAGCCTTGAGGGGGTTCCTTGACCCAGCTGCCTTGCGTTTCTGGGGTCTGATCTTTCTTGTAGACAATAACCTGCAAGTTTTGAATTGCTTTAATAATCTTATCCCACTTAAGCTTTAAGGTTTGCTTCCTACCATTGAATTGGTACAGTCATGTCAATGTTTATGTGATAAAGGTTGCATTGATACTGAACATTGATATTGAACCCTCTTTGTGACTGTAAAGGAACAACTGTCTTCGAGGAACAATTCTTCCAGTGTGAAGGGTGTTCCATATAAAAAGGTTTTACTGTATATTATTGAGGCAATATTTCCATACTACTCATAGCTTCAAAGATTTCTGATATTATTTACTATCTAAAAAAGTTGATTTTGAAACCATCCATTCTATAAGGAAAAATTTCAAATATGCCATCAACCGAGATGACACTTTTAACATTTCCTTATTTCTATAAGTATAATGTCTCTCCTTGTTTTATATGTAGTCTAGATGTCATTTTAAAAATTTGTTAAACCGCAACATATACCCACTAGGGTGTCCAGCGGCTTGTGTTTATAGTGTATATTATATAAGAATTATGAAATATAATTGAATTGAATTATTTTATATGTGATCCAGCCAATCAACTTACATTTCATTGGATTCAATGAATAAATGATCAAAGTCATCAACAGTAACATCCAACTTTTCATCATTGTCCAAGTTACTCTTAAAGAAAGCTGTAAACTCCTCATTGTTCACTGATGGCACGTGGACTTCCTTCTTTTCTGTGACTTCAGTCTTTGGTGCTTCTGGTTTCTTCTTGTCTTCGTCACTGTTGGACTTAACTAGGGCTGCAATCATGAATGACACATCAGTTGGCAGTTTTGGTTTTATTGACTTGTAACCTTTGGGTGTTGAAGAAACCGAGTATAGCTAGTTCACTTCATAAACCATTTGAAAAAATTTAAAAATAACCCCAAAATTAAAATCCTGCTACAGTATGTGACCTTCATCCCCTCTTAAAATGCTCCAGACTTGAGGACATGGCTTGTTTTGATGCTTGAGATACACTGGGGTCCATTTTGGAATTGTTGTAAATGATTTTGTTGCATTGTTTGTCAAAAAGTAGAATTGTAAGATACGATAGTGCCAAAAATGAACTCCTATAATATATTTTTAATTCATATAGATATAAAGTGCATTGTACCAGGATGTTCAAATAGTTCTGAGAAAAAACTCTTGTCTAGTATTAATAATATTATGTAATCCAAGGCAACATTTTAAACTTTTTTCTGAGTAAAGGAAAAAATGCTCTATAACCTAGAGGAAGAGAAGATAAAGATGTGTTGACAGTCAGTTGTACAATTTTACAATATTTTTCCTTTCATAATTGCATGTCACAGCTATTTTCTAAAAGGTTCAGCAGTTATGACTTTATTTCTGGACAATCTCAATTTCAATTGACATATTTGTAATCTTAAAAATTCTATTTTCTGTTTATTTACCATTTAGGTCTCCTAGACTGATACTTTTGGGGAGGGGTGTATTTTTGAATGCTAGGCTCTCATCACCGGATTCAGTTCCGCTCTTGGTTAACTTGAATGAAGATCCCCTGGGTGAGATTCTAGACTTGGGGGGTAGCCGTACTGGGGTGTCAGGAAGAGCCTGTTTACCTACAAAGAAGATAAGATTCAAGGAACACATGGGTCAAGGAACTTTAACATTTTAGAAGTATGGTTTAGTTTTAATCCTGAAAAACTGTAAAATTGAACCTTTATCTTTGTAGAATAGCATACAGTAACTCGTTTTTCTGTAATGATTTCAATCAGCTTGTATGTATAGAACATGTTAAAAAGATAGTATGTAAATGAGATTTTTAATGTAAACAAGTTTGATGGTCATAAATAATAACTTTGTCAATATCATTTAAATACAATTAAATACAATAATGAGTAATCAGTTTCTTTTTCATAGTCAAGGTTTTTGAACATGTTGTTTGAAGTCTAGTATTTACAATATATCCACAACTTGAAATTATGACTTGTTCGGTATCATAGAAACAGCTAAAGAACTCAAATTTCAAATAGCTAATCATAACATATAGATCTGAAATTCTTGACATTAAATGATATCAAGTGAATTGAATTCAATTACATGCATTTTAATTCAATTCTCATTGATCATGAGTGTCGGAGATAAATACTACAGTACATGACAACAAATATATCGTCTATCAAAAAAATTATCTGCATTCTTGTCTGAAGTATTTTCAAGTTGGTGTTTGTAACATTTTGACACTTCAAAATATCTTGAGTCATATACCTAAAAATCATTATGAAAATGAAACACGTTCATATACAGATAATGTTGAAGTAGATATTACTACATATCAAAAGATATTACATTCATGAAATGTTAAAGATAAAAAAATGATTTACCATGAAATAACCCCATATTGGTTGTTAATCTTTAATGTAGATTTCTATGACTTCCTCCAATACTTCCAATATAGTGAAGGAGTATTGGAGTGCATCATAACAATTAGGAAGTACAGTGTAACCTGTATATTGTAAACATTTTGGGTTCTGGTATGGGCCTTTAGGCTTTAGCTCTATAGTCTGTTACTATGCAGTATATAGACAGTCAAATTCAAACCACCAAGAAAAGTCTCAATCAAAATGTGTTTCCTTTCAGTACTCTCTACCGTATTCTCTCTAGTGATGACTAAAAAAATTATTGGCGATAATTTGTTTAAAAATTATTGGCGATATTTAGTTTAAAAATTATAGATTTTGGAATCGCTCGATAGGTTACCATTTTTAGTTTAATTGAAGGACGGCATTGAACACTGATTAGAGAAAATATGGTATATAGAATTTACAACCTCAACTTAAACATACCTGTTTTTGCTAATTTTCCGGCTACAGTAAACTCTTCACTATCTTTCTCTTCAACTCGTTGTTTCCAAGTCTCAGAGGATTCCTTAAGGTGGTTCAGTCTATCATGTATACTGGTTGGTCTATCTCCTTTTAGCCATGGTTTATTGCGGAATTTGATCTCGACCTCTGGACTTGGAGATTTCCCCTGGCGTAGCAATCTCTTTTGCCATTCAGTCACTCCACTCTTGTGCAAGTTGGAAAGCCTACAATAGTGTTTTCATAAAGTTTTGGGTGTTTGGAAGGGCTTGTTACGATCTTTTCAATTTGTTTAAATAAGGATGGGAGGGGGTCTTTCAGAGGTCATTAGATTTTTTTACATTATTTTTGGAGTCATTATGGTATTTTTTTTTGGGGGGGGGGCTTACACCTAAACTCGATAGATCCAACATTGAGTCAAGTAGTTATGAATTTGTGTACCATATTTTATTTATTTCAAGAGTAATAAACTTGTTTTGTGCCTCTTAAACCTATACCCAATCTCAATGGTACTCCAAGAAAAATATAAATTTGTTATAATATTTCAAGTCATTGTGCCATGTAAGGCACTCAGGGTATGTTTATTCAATGTTTTAATGAATTTTAAAAACAAGTGAACATTTGATGCAGTGATTGAATTTTATTTCAATATTTCATCATTTTTATCCTTCTTTCAATGAATAAATAAAACTTGAATATTAAATATGTTAAGTTCAGACATTGAAAATAGACAACAGTCAGCTGAAAATACTGTAGTATACCAATCTCAGGACTGAAGGTAAACATTATCACTTGTAGTTTTGAATTTCAAAATAAAACACAAATTCAGGACCTAAATATGTCAAATACTTGAGTAAACACTTGAACGTTTCATTTGCATTTATTTATAACAGGTAACCTTGATATATCGAAAGTAACAAAATGCAAAAATATTCTTTATTAAAACAGTTGCTAGACACTATGCTTTCAATACAAAAAGCATATCATACATTTATAGGTGTAGTCCAGTATACAGCCCAAGTTGACATTGCCAATGAATAAATAATCTTGTATCAAGCTCCCGTATTTCCATCTCATTTTCCACACTTGATGCAAGACTAACCAATGAGTAATAGGTCGATGTAAATCAACATATGAATTTCTTCAAATTGAGACATTTTTAGAGACTGCTCCTTACAGTGGTTAAGTGACTGAACAGATGGCTAATGGAAAGAGAGTCTACTTTTTAAGACTCCCTATCACAAAACGGAAGTGTATAAAACTGTAAGGTTTAAGAAGTATACCATAAGAATTTATAAGAGGTCATATAAACTTCCACATGAAAGTGTATCTCATAATAGAACACAGCTCTTAAATATGCTAACCTTTTACACTCTCATGGTGGCTTTTCTAAGCTGATAATGATAATAAGTCTAACTTCAATAAGGCTTCACAGTCTAGTGTATTGCCACAAGAAATTAACAATTGGGGACTGGCCCATTATAAGGCACTTCCTGGGGCGTGCATGATACTGTTTATTTATCTTATCCTTTACTTCAATAGTAGCATACTCCAGTTCATACAAAACATACAGATATATACTGTACTAGTATCCACTAACGCTGTTTATATCTGCTTCAGCTCAAATTCAGGGTCAATGTGTAAAGTGATATAACAAGGAGAAACCAGACTGGTTTGAAACTACAAACTACTTACAGCCCACTTCTAACATCATGGGTGTTATCCAGATAGGATTTTCTGAAAATACAATGCAATCTTTCATGACTTACCTATCTGCAATGGATCCTCCCAGCTTATTCTTAACCAGGGGGTCTGGAAATGCATTCTCTGCTGCCTCTACTTTCTCAGTAGGGGTGATAGGTTGTGTCATGTGTCGTGCTGTCACTGGTTTTGCTCTGCGCCCTGAGGATGGTGATTCCTCACCACCAGAGCCTTCTATTGGCTGTGTATGGTAACGTTCATGTTGAAATTTCCTCATTTCTCTTGATCGTCTTCTGGCTGCTATTGCTTCATTTTTGATATGTTTCGTAGTTCTTATTTCCTCTTCTGCACTACTGCTGAGCTGGTCTCTCTCATCTACTTTGATTACACTTGGCTCTATACTTAAATTCTCAACTACAGATTGTCTATAACTACCTAATTGTGATGTCACTTGTGATGTCATTTCATCTGTTGCAGACTTATTGTCTTCACTACTACTCACTAGATGTCTCTCAGGACTGGATTTAGTTTCTGGTTTCAAGATACTCCTTACTGTCTCACTATGTACATTATCACTGTTATTTGCTGATTGTGTAGAAGGTTTCAAGATTCCCTTAATATTTGAATTATCTATGCTGCCTTTGATTGGTGGAATTTGCTTAGTTTCTAGATTTTCTTCCACCTGTTGCTTTGGTTCATGTTGAGCTACTGTTCCTAAAATGATAAACAAGCGTTCTTGACTTGGCAGATGTAGTGTATAATAACACTGTTAGGACACTGTGATCTTTGTACCAGAAAATCATGTATGATTACTAGTGCAAAACAAACCTCTTAATCATTAACTCTTTATATATAACTTATAAACTGTTGATTTTGTGAACATTATCATAATTTCAGCTAGATAAATTTTGAATGAGATACTAAAACTACACAATGCTGTAGAAAAATAAAACATGTATCCTCTGAACATGCCTTGTTGAAATATAAGTTGGCTTTACTTTGCATTCAAATGCTAATAATGATATATAATGGATCAATACTGAGTTAATAAGTAGTTGTGGCAAAATAAGCCAATTTTAGTAAGAATAAACTTTCTGCTCCAGCAGCAAAACGGTTTATAAACAAAACCTTGAAACTCATTCATGACATGCACAATACATTATACACACGGCTAATGTTAATCAATTAAGCGCATGCAGTCTTGACAAAGCCCCAAAAGGAAATAACATCTTAACACATTTAATAACACCATATGGGGTTGAACCATTCAATTTTTGATAAATGTGTAATGATAACAAGTATAAAAATAGTACCTGGCTGATCAACATCATCACTGGTGGTCAACTCTGTCATAGAAGTTGTCCTTGAACCTGACCTTGACCCAGGCTGTGACCCTGACCTTGACCCGGGTTGTGACCCTGACCTTGAGCCTGTTTGTGACCCTGATCTTGACCCAGGTCGTGACCCCTGACTTAAAGTAGCTTCTGCATGTTTGGCCATGAGCTCCCACTGGTCTTTAAGACGCAGGCCACCAAGGATTTCTGGGTCAGGGGGCTTGACAAGTGTCATCGCGAGGGGTGAGATTTTAGCGGCTTGCATTTCATCGTTTGTTACAGGCTGTGGTTAAATAATGGGACAATCTTGGTTAATTTAAGATATTTAAACTTGGGGAGGAATAAGGGGGATGGGGAATTAATAATCATAAGCTTGTTTGATTGAGATAATGATTCATTTTCTTTTCTTTAAAACCTGCCTAACATTATATATGGTAGATGGCTGGTTTTGGAAACTGATCAAGGTTGAGGGGCAAACAAATTATCTTCAAAATCTCTTCGCATAAAATGAAAAAATGCTTACAAACTGAGACCTATTTTTGAAAATTAAAAAATGCCCCCAGGTCAGATCTGTCAGTGGTATTAGGAGAGCCAGAATTTACAGGTAATGGAGCGTTCACTTTGCTATGATTGGTTCATTGGCTTAATCATTCAAGCTTATTCAAAGGAGATCATTCTTGTATTACTACCTATGATTTAATAAAAACAGGATATTTTTTAACTTTCAAATGAAAATTAATATTTTTCCAGTATAATCCTAATAAAAAACGAAGAGTACTGTGATCAAAGAGATAGCACTTGTGAAAGAAGACAGAATGTTTTCTAACAAACAAAAATAGAGTTTATTCCTAATATAATATTTAATATCAAGAAATATTATAATAAAGAACTGAGGGTACTGTGAAGAATAGATATTTAATTTTTAAAGTTGCAGAATTGAAGGTTTGTAAAGAAAGCTTAAAGAAAAGAAAAACAAATCAAACACAACAATATCAACAAGATAGAATTAAAGAATCAAAAAGAAAGGGAAGTAAGAGAAGAGAGAAGTGCAAGGAGAGAGAAAAGGCTATCCAAAGTGATAACAATGTTAAAAGATGAGATCAGAAAAGGGTCAAACCAAGAAATATGCATCCAACAATGGAAACTTAACACATCAGATGATGCTTTGAAGGAGTGATAGAGTCAATCAAGGAGGTTAAAGGTTAAGGTCAAGTTTTAAAATATGAGTTCATAGGTTGAGTTTTCTTCTATACTGCCCATGGGCAATTGAAGGGGTCTACATTTTACTTTATATTGAATAAATATGTCACAATAAAAAGAAGACACATTGTATTCAATGTGTTTAAAATTCCCAAAAAGAGGCAGCTGGCCGTTTCAGGAAAAAGTAAATTGGACTATTCCTTTTCATAGAGAATAGTGTACTAATTGTGTTAATTTTCACAGCTGGTCCATGGAACCCCTACACAGACCAGAATCATTTTTCTATGTTAGTCAATGCTCTAAGTTAGTGTTTTTTCTTGCAGAAAATAAAAAATATCCTACTTTAATCAAATCATAATGTGGGGAAATGAAAATTGTTACGTGGTTGAATGAACATAAATTATAAACACATTCATTTGCTCGTTAAATGTCACACAATGCAAACACTTGCAAGCTACACTATTAAATAACTGTAAGGTATTAGAAAAACATGGTAAACCGTATTATAAATTAAACACTATAAGGTTAGTTAATATGACTGGAAAAACTCACCTGAGTCTGAAAACGGGATTTTTCACGTCTTTGTTTGCGTTTCATAACAGGCGTGGTTACTTTTGGAGGAGGTTTCGATTTTTTCTTGGCAGAAAATAATTTCATTTTTTCAGCGATACTCAACTGAGAGAGTTCATCCTCCGAAGAGTCATTCTGATCTTGTTCCTGTTTAGCGATATCTGACGCTGATTTCACTTCCTCAATCGTAACTGGCTGAGTTTGTGAGCGTTCCTTATCGCGTCTTTTCCTGAAAAATCTCTTTGCAGCAGGTTTGATTTTTTTAGGTTTGTGTTCAGCCTCAGCTTCTGCCTTTTCTTGCTGTTCTTTAGTACTAAAAACTGAGGATTTGGCATTAACACTTAACCTTGTTAAATCATCATCAGACACTTCCATTTCAAGAGTCAACTGTCTCAAGGCTTCTTCCTCTTCTTCTGATTTTAAAGCACTAATATTTTCAATACACAAATCGTCTAAATTATCATCAGTTTCAGGGGTCATACCCCGAGAGAGCTGCCGTCTTGGGGGTGGTCTTGTAGCACCTGGGGTCTCCGTTTGCTTGGCCTGCTGGAGAAAAGCAGTCTGCTTATCTTTGAAACTTTTAGATTTCTCCGCGAAGCGTTTTGGTTTATCCTTAGATTTAAACTTTGATTGTATATCAGCGAATGACTGTGTTTGCTGTTCTTTTATGGATTCTGTCTGTAGCTCAACAAATGATTTAGATTTTGTGATGTTCAGAGTGTCTGTCTCTGGGATACCGCTCAAGTCTTCAAGACTTATGGGTAGAGTGTTGTACCTCCCTTTATCGCCTTTACGCCTGAATCTCCTCTTCTCCTTCTCTCTACTGAAAGGCTGTGGGAATTCTGCCTCGTTGCTGGTTGGATGGGACAGAACAGGCCCTTTAACTAATGGTACCTTCGTTTTACTAGTCTGTTGTTCCTTGAAAAGATTGGTTGAGGCTTTGCGCATTACCTCAGCACGAAACGCAGCCACAGAATCCAAACTGCAAATGAATGAAAAGTTGTATTACACATACTGACATAGTACGTAATCCTAGTTATCAGATGATAGGAGATGAAATAATGCTGGTTTATGAAGATTTCCAGATAATTTGATTACTCAAGTAATTGAACAATTATGTGGTGAACTATCAAGCCAATCTTAGCAATATTCAATTAATCAATGCTATTGGAAGAGTTACATTTTCATATCAGGACCAGGAAGCTATTTATATTCTAGCATCGTATAAATATTTGATCAAAAATATGTGGCTTCATGCGTTTGATTATACTGCTACCATATGATGTCCATGAAGGCTATAAGTGAGTACATATTCATAAGTACATTAGTAGTATAGTACATAAGTACATGTATTGTCAATTCTGCTCTCAAAGAGTTTTAATGAATTTAGTTTCTTTTGGTGTTGTGTATAGCTAGTAAGTTCAGGTAATCATGGTTCAGTGAATTAGCTTTCCTACAAGATCAGGCTTTATGCTACAGCAGCTATATGTAAAAATTGTACATATTTTGAAAAAGGTTAAAAATTGAAATACCCTTTGACCAAGGATGTAAATCACCAGTAATAAGTAGATATTTAAATATGCATGTATTTTAAATTATCACTAAAGTAACCATTAGAATGCAAATCTATGGATGCATCATTTTATCATGATGCTAGAATAACAACTGAACAATGTTAACTCCCCATTGTGGGATCCACAGCCTTTACTATCCTTTTGGAATAGTTAGGTAACGTTAGGTAAAGAGGGACTCTGATAAATCAGAATGTTAACTCCCAGGTAATCACAACATCAAGAACAGCTGTTGCCATTTTTATGGCATATAGACTAATATATTTGATTCAATCAATTTATTTTAAAATCTAAACAAGTTCTAAATATTAGAAACAACTAGAAACATTTTCCTGATCGTGACTTAGGGATGTTACCCTGACAATCAAATATTTTCAATACTAATTCTATCCTCTGAAGAAGACAAATGACTATATAATTTTGATGCTGAGATCTTAATGGCCCCAAATGTAACTGTTGTGGCCTTTCATGGGTGCTTCAAAATAAATCCAAGCTCAGTATTACGTCAGAAAGTGCAGTGACTGCAATTCTGATTGGCTAACCATTTGTGAACAACCAAACTGATTGGTTAAGACTACATCAAATGATTACTTCATATTGGAAGAGTATATACATACATGTGAAATCAAACTCAAAGGGTGGACATTTCAAACTAAATTTCATTAAACATCTAATAAGCTGTTGCTATGATATAGTGTCCCGATAAAGTATAAAACAAATTAATATTTGACATGAACTTAAAAATTGTGATAAATTACCAATACGCTGCTTCACATTATATGTGTGTAAATCTTCATGATTAATGTCGAGGTCAAACTTAATGGCAAAAGTTCACAATCCTTTTGTTTATGTTCAAAAACATGTTTAATATACTACTTCTAATGGTGAAGTTAATTTCAAAATCAACATATAACTGATTGTTTTTTGTAGGGACAAGGAGGCCATATGGTAATTTGGTCCAGTTTTCTTGTCAACGGAGGAGGCTTGTTGCCTGTTTCATGGGTGTACCATTAAAGGATCTCCGATCTACTAGTCAAAATTATCTTAAGAACAAAATTCTTATGTCATAACTTTTGAAAATAGGCAAGCATCCACTTCAAAATTAATTTGAGAAAAGTCGTGAAACTTTTTGGCGTGGAAATGATAAAATGAGAGATGTTGAATTAACTCAAAGAAACTCTTGGCCCAATAAAGAACACTGAACATACAAAAATATTCCATACTATAATTATTTTCTCCTAATGAATAATGAAAAGTTTTACCATAATTAAAGGAACTGCGCCATCAAATATCCAGTTTTCACTTCAGATTTTAAAATCACAATTTTGGCATCCTTTCTAACTGCCTTGCTTTGACAAGTAGCAGAGCACGATTAAAATATGAGCAACTTATATATGTTGACCTAAAGAATCAAGTGGCTCAAGTTGGTTACTCAAAACAAGATCTTTGAACAATGATATTGACAGATTAGGCTTCAAGTTGAATTCTTAGAAGTGCAACTGATATATTTTAGATACAACACTTAACTGTGCAAATAGCTCCAGACTCGTAAGTGTGTAGCATATTTCGAGGTCAGTGCTTAAACTTTGGCGACATCTATTAGATTTCAACTCTTCTGTTTCTTATTGAAAACATGTTGCGTGAGTCAAGTAGGAGGGAGGGGAGCAGGTTCACAGGGGCTTGTAGCTAGACTAGTGGGTGATCACAAAAATTGGTAATTGTCCACCTACCTTTCTGCCTTTACCAGTTCTTCGAGAGTAACTGGTTGTGTTTTCCTCCTCCAATCCTCATTCTTCAACTTCTGGAAGCGATCACGTTTAGCCCCAATATTTTGAAACTTTTCACGATTGGCTGCCACATCAGAAAGCTTAGCAAGTAACTCCTGGTCCTCAGCAATGGTGGGAGCGAATGATGCGAGATCTGGCGGAGATCCTTCTTGACGTGGTGGGATGGGACTGATTGCCCCTGTTCTGAAAACAAATCAAGTTCATCAAAATCATTTACTCTATACTGAACTGCAGGTATTGAGAATTTTTGCATCCAACTATTTAGTTAGCAACTTCATATTTTTTTAATGACTGAATGCTCAGCTGTTTAGCGAATCATTTTGTTTTACCATGAATATAGCAAATACAGAATCATGAACCAAGGAAAACAGTATACAGTTGTATCATGAGTCTTTGGACTAGAGATTACAGTATCATGAACCTAAGAACTACAGTTACACTGTCATGAATTCAAGGGGTTACAGAACCATGGATCTAACGGGGACGTAAATAAATTCTGTTAAAGCTAAAGAATTCATCATAAATCATGTTACAGAACTCATTAAAGGTCATCCAAAATAACTGTTTATATTGAACTGATCATGGTGTTTTTTAATGATTTCTATACTGAAATAATTAGCAAATATTTCACCGCAATTGATTAACCTGTAGATAAGTTCCTCATTTACAAGGCACATTGGTCTCACAGTTAATGATTATTAAGATGATGTTAATATCATGAACTTTTTATGACACTGAGGAATGACCATGAACAATGTAGGTTAAATGAAGTTCCATTGTTATAATGGCATGTCTATGTGTTTGTAGCACACTTTACTGTCCTAATGGTTCTCTACTGTCCTGCACCGTGTAGACTAAGCCCGAAAAGACACTTTGGTGTGGATAATAAGAAGACTGTCTAGGCCTGTAGTCAGGAGGGTTAAGGCTTAGAGGAGAGTCAAGCGACCCCTCCCCCCCCCCTTCTGCCCCCCGGGGGGGGGGGGGGGGTTCACTGTGTACAAAATTTGGCAGGGGTCCTAGGCTGAACCCTCAGATATCAATTTATTCCCATACCAAAATGTCAAATTTGAATGTGTTCCCATACCAACCGATATAGTGCCCAAAAGCCATCCCAAATATGAAACCAATGCCATACCAAATGTCAAAATATAGGACTAATGCCATACCAATGCCATGACTGGTCCAAAGTAGAATATTTCCTGGGAAAAAGCTATTTATTTAAACTGAAGAAGGTCCCAAGAAGAAGGCGATCTTTGAGTAAAACGAACCAAAACAACCTCATATTAGGATATGTGTAACTACTAGACTAATTCCATACCTTAATTGTGAGATAACATATTTTCCTTGACCATTCTCATACCAGAAAGTTGAAAAATCTGACCAATTCCATCTCTCAAAAGTTTAAAGAGGGGGCATTCTCATACCACATCCTAAAATTTGGGTCCATTGCCATACCAAATGTCCAAAAAGGTACCCCATGTGCGCCGAGGATCCCCGTCAAGGTTTATATACAGTGAACCCACCGGGCTTCTGCCTAAGCATTTTTTACAGGCAAAGTATATATAGAGTGTAAACTAGAGTCTACTGGTATTCTACAATACTTTACTTACCTTGGAGTTCCAAAGCCTGATCCAGACTTTGAGTTGCTTTCCTCAATCTTATTCTTCATCTGGAAGATCCTCTCCGCCACAGATAGAGGTTTTTCCTCTCCATCCTGAGGCATGAACGAAGGACTAATGGCACCACTGGAAGATAAAATATTTATCTATGTTAAACCTATATTTATAATTTATATCTTTTGAGTTTACAATTTTTTCTTTACAAATGGACTCTCCTCGGGAAATATATAGATTGTGGTCGAAACATTTTCAGTATAAATTGGTTTAGTATTATTTTTCCAAAATTTCAGTCTTATAATGCAGCATCTTCAAATGCTTGGTCTTCTCTCCATTCGTCAGGAGAGGAGCAGAGCGAACGAAAATAATAATGCTGTGTGCTTTTATATTTATTATATTCAACCTGTAGCAACAATGGTAGAGAGGCGAATGATAGGTTGTTGCTGGATAGTATAATTCCAATTGAGGAGTATAATTTCTGAACCCGTTTTGGTGCTTCTAACCAGATGCACATTAAATTCCCCAGATATGATTAATTACCACTATCTACTGATAACATCTGGTTAGAGCATTTCTCTATTTTCTAACACAATAACACTGTGAACAGACTTTTAGAAGAGAATCATTGACCATATTCTCCAGGTACCTGATGTGTATATCCATTTTATTTGGGTTCTTGTGTACCCTTCCAATAGTTTAATTTGTAGTAATTATAGCTTGACTCTAGGCCTCAAGGAATTTCACGTGAGGAGTTCTTGCATAATCAAACAGACATCTGTATTATTCCTAAGCCAACTGACTTTATAATAATCTATTCAAACCAACATTTGACAAATCAAATCCGTTCAGACATTTCCAATATTTACAATTGTAATGATTAATCTCAAATTGGATCTACATGTAGTGAGTGTATAGTGAGTCATATATTGTTGGCAAGCTGTTATCGTAATTGTTTATTGTCTGTCAGACCTTCATAAAATACTACAAAGGTCAGGTATTTTCAAAACAAAGAGACAAACAACAAGGAAAATAGGAAAACAGCGAGGAAAGCAATGTATAATTCACAAAGCATATAGTAAAACCTGTCTAAGTGGAACATCTTTGGTACCTCTGAAAAGTGTTCACTTGAGAGGTGTTCCACTTTGAGACATTCACTTAATATTAAGTCAGTTGGTCTTAGGACTCAGAAAGGTGATCCAATAACAAAGGTTTTCTACTTATAGAGGTGTTCCACTTTACAGATTTCATTGTAAATATTTCAATTATTAGGTACATCCAGGTAAAATACTGTAAGAGAGTCAGAATGAGTTGTAACGTATATTTAGCAAACAGGTGTTGACAAACAATTCTAATGTGAGATGTTGTCTAATTTTAAAAACTTGTAAAATGATGTTTATTTTCATATAGTTATTATTTCCCTGTGCCCTCTATAATGAAATTTGAAAATGTAGATTTGTTTTTTTAAAAAACACATTCTTCAATAATGAAATCGTTATATACCCCCAGAACAAAATTATCTTTCTTCTACAACTGCCGACAAATGAATGTACATCATCCTTAGCCAATTGCCAATTTCACTTATCAAACTTCAAACATCTCAAATTGTTGATAATGCATGTTCGGATTTCAATTAACAATGCTTGTACATATATTTCAAAGTTCTGAATTTATGGATGAATTGTGATGCTTTTTATGTCTATGTTTGCATTTGTTTATATTTGAATTGACTGTGTTCTTTGAACTAAACATACTTCAATATACTGTAGATTGTAATAGAGTATCAGACAAGTTTACAACATGACATTTTTTATTTTTTATTTGGCATATACTGAATCTTCAGATTCAGAAACTACAGGGTGGGGCAAAATAGGACACCAACATATATCCTATTCAAAAGTAGAGTGGAAATAAAACAAAATTAGGAAGTATAAAAAACTGATTTTATAAATATATGTTTATTGTTTGTATTAAATCTCAAGTCATTAAATGATGCATGTTTTAATATTTTGCTCAAAACAACATATGTGGCATATTTCTGCCTACCCTTTGAAAAAAGAAATATAATAAACGTACCTTTCTTCTTGATTTTCCTCCTGTTCACTCTCACTTTCCAGTTGTCTCCTGGCCTCTAGAACACTGGCCAGTTCTGCCCCTCCTGGGAGCTTCCTACCTAAGATAGGGGACACAATCCTTGGGGACTTGGAAGGCACAGCCAAGGAGTCTTGGGGTGTGTCATTATCCTGGGGGTTCAATACAGTTCGCAATGAGACTTCCTCCTCACTGGAGGATTTTTTCAATATGGATTTGGGTTTTTGTCCATTTGGCTTACTGCTGTTATCAATTGCACTTGGGGCATCTTTTTGAAGTGTTGGGACAGGTTTGGTCTCTGGTTTTGATTCCTCTATTGAGTCCTTTTTAAGAACTGATTGTTTTGGTTTGGCACCTTCTATATTTATTATTGGTTTCACTGTTGGCTGTTCATGTTTTTCTAAAGAGTTTGTTTTTATTATAGTCCCCTGTTGACTAGTTTTGTCATTAGAATGAGTTTCCGCAATTTGTCGTTCATTTTGTTTGGGAATTGAATCAGAGGGAGAAGATTCAGTAGGAGGTGGCTCCTCTGGACTGTCCTCCTGTAAACGCCGAGCTTTTAACATTGATGATAATTCAGCATCAGCCACTGTATTTGTCTCATTTAATCGCTCTTTTTTCTCCTCCTCAAGTTTATTTTCCAACTCCTCGAGCTTATTGGCTTGCTCTTCATCTTGTTCAAGTACTCTGCTACGCCTATTGAGAATCTTAGCTAGCTCATTATCTTGTATTTTAGAGGCTGGTTGCTTAGAGGGGTCTGTTCCTCTTAAGCTTCCACTGCGGCGTAATACAACAACTTTCTCTGGCGATGGCGACTTTCTGACATTGAAACTTTGAGACCGTTCAGGGGTACGCCTTAGTTTTAAAGTTGCATTAGTGGAAACTGTCTCTTGTGAAGGAGTAGTGATGTCATTGGCATTGGCGTCAGATCGCTTTCGCCTTATGACGATTCGTTTTTTGGTTCCTGATTCAGATTCAGAACTTGAAACGTCAGAAAATTTCTTAACAAGTTCCGAGATGTCCTTCTTTGTTCTGGGCATTTCAGATGCCTGTTCATTCGACTGGAAGACAAAAGAAGATGAAAAAATTAACCCAATTGATATAAATGAAATATACTATATTCCTAAAAATGAACACATCTTTTGCTTTGCATCAACTCCAGCATCCATCAACGAGTAAACCATCTACTTACCTTCAAAATTATCAAAATTTCCTACAAAAACATGTATTTTGTGCTATCTATACTACAACTAACATTCAATAATTCAAGTACCTAGCACATATATACTATATTCATATTGGGACTACAATACAGTATTTGAATAAAATAATGATAGTATTTATAGAGCCATACGCAGCTAGATTCTACAAAGCATCCAATGAGCTACCATTGAACCCATGACCCATAAGAAAACTGCCTTAAACCAATTGCAAATTATTATCTTGGCAAGTATTAGGTCCATGCAAAGTGAATAAGATTATGAGGAAAATTCTGAAACATTCTGCTCAGTATAAGAAGTTTCTTTATGTTTTTCATAAAGAAAACAAAAGTCACAAAAATCGCTGATCGAGGTTTGACATTTTGTAAAGGTATATATTATATGCCAACATCTATTCAATGGGATAATATTTTCAAAACCATTGAATACAATCCAAAAATAACAAAGGTATCATTCATCCATATATACTATATATCACATTAACATTGATCATGAATACAATATAAAAAGGAAACATAGATGTTCACTCTTATCCAAAATTGTGGCAACCAGGAAAGCGAATCAAATAGCATATCAAAACATATGAATCTTTTTTCCAAAATATTACATTGAAAATCACATCTAAATAAGTTTATATGTGAATCGTTTTCCTCATTATCAAATTAGGTTGAAAATCCATGATTTTATGAGTTCTTTTGAACTGCCAAGCATGAACAGGTTTAACATTGCGGTGGGGTTTAGGGAGGGGGGAGTTTGTGTTGCCAAACTTTTGGAGGGGAGTGTATGACTAATGCTATGTTTACATGATATTGATTTGAATTATTTGTTCAGTATTTTAGTATTAGTATTTTTAGGCTTGATAACCTGATGAAGCAATGACTGATCTGTTATGATAATAATTTATGTTTAAGAAAATAACAATTATTCAGAAGCGTAATATGAACTTTTTTTAAACAAAAGCATCAAATGAATAATATAAAATGAATAATTGAAAACTGAAATAATTATAAAATTATTTATAAACAATAAATTCTGAAATAAAAATAAAACAATCAATGTATATCAATTGTTGTTCAATTGTGCATGTTGACTATAGACTTTTGTCTCTTTAAATATTATTACATAGTATCATATTCATCTACTTTCTTGAATTAACACATGTATTACAACTGAATCAAAGATTAAGAGGTAATCAACATACACAATTGATAATCATAAGAAATCAATAACCTTATAAATCCAAACAAAATATACAATCCATTGAATAGAATTCTAAGCACCCCACACCAAGCCAAACTTAACTCTGGCACTGCCAGAAATTGTAACATGCCGCCTTGGTACCTGTCTCCGAAGCCATGAAATGGTCTCTTCCCCATGATTTTCTTCCTGAATGGTATGAAATGTGGGGCTCCTAGAGGGAGATTTGGAATAGCGGGTGGTATCGTTAGTGATCACATGTAAAGCCTGAAGGTGGATACAACACAGATAGAACATGTGGATATACATGTAACATATGGATACAAAAGATAGACAATTGGATACATTATATACTGAAACAACAAGATGGATAAAACATAGCAGGTATGACAAGTACACAAAAGATAGAACAATACATCACAAAGATACTAAAAGAAATGCAAAATTGAAACTTTTAAGGGGTGCAAAACACACCAATTTAGACAACAGAGACATCTTTTAATAGAGGTAATTAAGGCCTCATGAACATGATATTGTAGCATATATGCAGATGATCAAAAATGATACGATGTACCATTTTCTAGTGTGGATAAGGAGCATATTTTCTGAAGGCTTTCAGTCCTTGATTTATTAACGATGACGAACAATATCAAACTATTGGGCTTCACAAGAATTTCTGACAAAAACAGGCAAAAGAAATGAAACTTTGATGAAGGAACAGTGATTTCACTATTGTTAAAGTGATAAGGTTGCACAAGGATGAAAATCTATCTACATATGCTTTTAAACTAATGAATAAATTTAACTTGAGAACCATGATGATGCCTCAACACCACACAATCACAAATGAGCAATATAATATAAGGATTTTAATATCATTCTCAAAATGACAGTAAAGCACACATGAACATCAACATCATGAAGAATTGTAGATCACGATTTGTTAAATTCAACTGCCTTAGTGCTATTATCAGCAGAACTGTTGAATTTTGGAATCATAATTCACAAAATTTTCAAGCGAAATCCTAATCACCTACAGAAGAACAAATCACAGTTTCATTTAAAATTGCTATGAAATAACTTTTTTGAATATACTCACATTTTTATTGAGCCCTTCTGCCTGTTCTAGCTCCTCATTGGTTATCGGCGTGGTTTGATTTCTTAAGCCCCGCCCACGAAGATGGCGACGTGTTGATGACGAGGAATCTGATGCTAAAGAACTGTCATCATTGGAACGCCTGTTGGGATCTGAAAAAGCAAGAATTGTTCATGTAAACATTAAACATAACTAATGTTCACTTTCTAAATGTCTATGAATCATAAAAAGGAGGTGTAGATATCTAATGATTTCTCGATTGATATCATTTTTATCCACAAGTAGATATGAATATGTCCATGAGAAACTACAGCAAGTTTGTATATATGAGGGTATATGACATGATACATGAAGTTTCATATAAAAATATGTCAAATGATTAAAATCTACCAATGTTGATGAATGTGGAGAATGAAACCCTATGAACCACATTGACAAAAATGGTAGTTTCACTTGTTAAATACATGTATAAGAGCACAGTATACCAAAATTGGAAAGTACTTCACAACATCTTGAAAATCATTTAAAATGTTGGCAGTTTTATGTTAGTTTATGACTCTACTCATATATGATATGAAGGCCTTGTTATGAGAGCTTGAAGTAGTCATTCAACAACTGCACCAACACTTTCACCAAGTCCAACTTTTCGTAGCATAAGAAATGGTATCCAAATCTAAATATGGACTACTGTGGGAGAACAAAGGGAGAGGGGGGGGGGTAAACTACATTTTCATTAGTTTTGTGTAAAATAGTGATTTTTGAGTCTGTGACATTACAAATCAACTTACAAATTGCTGTTACAAGGGGTAGAGGTTTTAACCAAATGAAAGGACGATTCTCGGTTTGGAGAACGAAGTTCATCAATCTAAATGAGCATTATCCCTGCTTCGGACCAATTATTTTTTACATATAGATTTGAATGTCTTCTTTTGAATAATCATAATTTAATTTGGGTAATATTTCTAGATTTTTCGCAAAAAAATATTAGCGCAGTACACTGATGAACTTCTTTCCCCAAATCGAGACTTGTATTTTATTGAATCGGTCTAATTGAGCGTTATCCCTGCTTCAGACCAATTTGTTATTTTTACATCTTGTAGATTTAAATGTCCTCTTTTGAATATTCATAGTTTAATTTGGGTAATATTTCTATATTTTTCATGAAAAAATTATTAGCCCAGGAGACTGTTCTCCAAACCGAGAATCGTCCTTTGGTAATTTTCCCTACGTACAAATTCCATTACTATCATATACGTTATATCATATACGTTCCATCACTATCATTGACACAAATATTTTCATAATTTCATTTGGATACAAACGATAACTTCAAACAGAGTTGAAAACACATGAAGACATTACAAAAGATAGGTTATGAGTATATCCCCATCTAAATGGTCAAAACATTCACACTTCTTAAGTTCAGTTTTATACTTTAAATGTTTTTTAAACATACAATGTATGTATCCACATAAATAAGACAGACCAGGTCATATCTAGTTCATCTAATCCTCCTAAATTAATTCTAAAGCTATAAACAAATAGAGAAGTTATAAATAAGTGGAAGAAAAGATCATATCAAATAGTTTTCAAATAAAACGTACCTACTTTACACTATATATATCATACAGAGTGGCAACTAAGAACTATTCTTGATACATTCTTTTTCTATGAATTGAAACATCTTTTCCTCGTTTTTGATTTATTCTTGTTTTTCAAAAATTGATGTAAAATCCCCGTGCCAACAAACAATACAATTGTTCTTTTGATTGAAATCCTTTGACAAAATACTCTTAAAAATACTTCACAAATTTCTTTCAAATAAAAGATATTTATTAAGACCTTTCAAATGAACTAATATTAGGTTAGGATTGATTTGAAAGGTATATTTTTCTATAAACACATTTTAACTGAGAAATATAAGGAGACCCTTTCTGTCAAAAATATCTATCTTCATCATGAATGAAACATGTCAACTAGAGAATATGGAGAAAACCAAATCCGGAAACTAAAAATACCACAACATATGATAACAATATGGTACAATATAGTACAATACAATAAACGACAATAACTTAAGGAACATCATCGTCAAGTCAAATAGACGTACCGTTATGTTCAGTGATCTCCCCAGCATTAAAGCAAGTGGGTGCTGCACCCACTTGAGATTTTAAAACTAGGCTTACACCTACTTAAAATTGAGAAAAAACTATAAAAATAGGCATATTTTGACCAAATTTGGTCTAAATTGTGAAATCGAAAATTTTGCACCCACTTGAGTAAAAATCCAGGGGGGAACACTGATGTTGCTTCAGTTTTGATGAAGTTGTCAATTGTATTCACCTTGATTCACCTTGAAAGATGTAATGTTTCCTTATTTAGCCATCTCATGTGATGACCCTATTAATTAATAAGACATAATCACGAGAACAGATGGAAAATTATCAGCTCATAAATGATACAATTATCGAAATAGACCTATCAAGTAACTATGTTAACTATGTTATTAAATGATCAAATCAACAAAACGTTTAAATTACAATTTTTTCGATGTTTTTATCTTTAAGTAACCTTAACTAGAAATATTTCCTTGACGATTATGACATCATAATATATATGATAAAATCAACAATTATAATGCTTCAGTTGCAATTTTTTCGATGTTTTTATAAATAACCTTAACTAAAAATGTTTCCATTACAATGATGACATCACAGTACAGGTATGAAAAGTCAAATGAAACATTTTGTTAATTTGAACCTTAAAATATCTACATATGGTATATGGATATTTACGGTAGCATGTAAAAGTAATTTAGTGTGCTTTAAAATACAGATATAATCCTATCATATTTATGCAACTATTTCAATCAAAATGTCGTCCAGAATGAATAACCAAATCTACTTTATAGTACGATCAGACAGATAAAACATTCAATGAACATAAATGAAGTTTATTTAATTGAGATACAGTTTCTACCTGACAAACTCCCGACCACCCTACAGTTGTAAGAGATACCTCATCCGGGAAAACAATCAAACCTACAATTTCATGGTTACCATGACAACTGTCTCCCAGTGGTTACTGAATCAGTTGTAATAAACCTTACTGCTCTTACTGATAACTCCTGAACACAACAGATATGTACAGTCTAATGCAAGACACAAGAAATGTGCAGCCCATTGGGAAAATGGTCATATAAATAAGTAGTTAACATTTACTGGGGCTGTGCAAGAGACTTAAGACCTAAACTTGTTGAAAACAAACTCTTGCTTTGTTCTCTCTCCAGGATATAATTGAGAGTAAACTATTGTCAGGGTTCTCCACAATTTGAGTTAACCTTTACCATGCTGCCTTATTTCAGCAAATATATCCCACGCAACTGGCTTATTTTTCAAAGAGTGCAAAAAATGATATGCCTGGACTAAATAATTAATATCTCCATAACTACTGAATGAATCTGGATAAAATTTTCACAAAGGGAAGATACAGTGGCCTGGCTCATGAAAAAAATGTTCTCATGAATTTTTTCGTACATTAACACAACTGGGCATAAATATACCATGAATACTCCTCCGGAATCCGCCGCTCCGCCTCTTCGTCTGGTCAGAATCCAAATCTGAATTTGCAGCGATCGAATGTTCAATTTTTCAATTCAGAAAATATTCTAGTTTCTATTTTCGATGACAGTTATCGGCTTCCAAGAGCCTAAAGAGCTCGAAATCGTAATCCATTTCCTCCACATTTTCGTTGTGATCGTATTTGTCCACCATTTTGTACGATTCGTTAACTAAAAACGACTAAAACACTGTTTAAATTGTTGAATTGAGAATTATTTTTCGAAATATCGCCATTTCTAGGTCAACAGGAAGTCATGTTAGGCACTGAATAAATCGGGCAATCTAATTGGACAATACGAATGGCGCGAAAAAGTAAAGTTTTTAAAAGTTTGAAATCGGGCGTACGGGTCCGCCGGCAGTTGTGAGAGACATTTTAGTCTCGGCGGACGAGTCCGCCGGCAGCACGCTAAAGGTTAAATGAGTGCATAATTGTAAAATGGTGATTTTTAGTGAGTGGTGCTAATTTATAGTGAGTGTAGCAACTTATATCAGTGCGATGATGTCACTGCTTGAAGTATTATTACCTCATGGGTATGAAGAACAGTGATTTTTAAAATGAAACCAATTAATATATAAATGTCCTTATAGCAGTAAACATCATCTTTGTTTGTTAAGTTTTTGATGCCAATAAAAGAAATCAAAAATCCGAATTTCATTATTGGACCAATAAGACTGTTCTTACTCATCAAGTTTTTCATAATAACATTTTTTTCTTTCCGCATCCCATGAACTGACATAGCCTGATGCATTTCAGATGCCTTAAATGCAGACTTAAAGTTCCCCGTTACTGTCATTTAATTGCTGTTACCTTGTGTTAACCATAGGTTTAAAATGTCCGTTGGCAATGCAGACACCTTGCTTAGCTAGAAGGGTCAAAATATTGTGAACATTTTGACAATAATTGATTTGATAGGATAGTACATATGTAATTACAATAGGTTAGCCTAATTGCAAAATGCGACTGATTTGACAGGTGCAAAGTTTTATTTTTTATAAGAAAATAACATTTGTATGAAGTCTTGAATCTGTCTCAGGCTTCACTTTAAATGCTCAAATATACTCTAAAACAAGGCAACATTTGAAAACATAACAATTGGCCTGTACCTTGGGTCTTAATTTTACTAAGGCCAGAATTACTCATTCCAAAGTAGTTTTTAGAATCAGAAAACCTTTTCAAACAAGGTATTAACATGCAAAATGTCACTACCTGACATTTGTTACAGATGCCAAACTCTGAATGCTGACCACCAGATGCCAAACGCCAATCACCAACAAAAAGTGACATAAAAAATCATAACCAAGATAGGTTAAGGCAGGTAAATGGCTGCCTCGATTGTCTTAATGTATGAACGGAAAACCCTTCAATATGAATGCATAACACACTATATTTGATCATGTATAAATCAAGTAATAACTGCGGATGAAAATTCCTCATTTGCACTTGTTGGGAGTGGCATCAGCCAGCGCTAATATTTCCCTTTCCAAGTTATTAGCCTCATATTACCTTTAGCTTCATATCAACGTGATCTCAA